AAATGACCTCCTCATGCGTTGCTTGAGCGACAGCCCTAGTTTCCTCCTTGCTCAGCTCTAGCCTCACCGCGACCCCTCTAACTCTCCCCTGCCCCGCACTCTCTCCTCAGTTTGAGCGATGTGAGAGTGACGGTTCGGCGTCCAGCGGATACGGCAGCGTCCACACGGCTCCGGCAGCTGCGCACACTGACGGTACGTCTGTCCCCGCTCCACCGCCCCCGCCGCCGTCAGAAGCATGAGATGCCACATAGAGACACACGTAACCCGGACGGTGGCCGTTGGGTAACGCCTGTACAGCTACGGCACAGTCTGCCTGGCTTTCAGAGGTTGGCTACATTGGTGTAGTCGGGTTTTGTTTTGTGTTTTGATGTTAGCTGTTGTTTGGTACTGTGTGTGAGAAGGTTGAGTGTTTGACAGAGTGATGTGACTGGTGCTTTAGGCTCATATTTTAATTATTGTATGCTTTGCTGATCTTTTACATGCACAGAACATTTTACGAATCTGCATATATGTAGAATAGTCCAGAATATAGCCCCGTTGACACAGTTAGCGCATTGTTTGCCGTTATTCAGCCCACTAGGGAGGAGTGTGTGCAGGTGTCTGATAGAGTGATCGGGTGCGGTCGGCAGTCTGTGTCTGAACTCCTCAGTTGTGCATGCCGCTCTGCCCGTGTCGCCGTCAGTGATGCTCCGTGTTATATGTCCGGCCCGCCTAGCGGGGGCACTCGCCCCCTTAGTCGCTACCCCGCCGGCCTAGTCTGCCCGTCTGAGCCCTGATCGGTCCGCTTCTTTTGGTCCAGCCTTTCCGCCGCCGCCTGATTTTGTGCTAAACAACTTTTGCGACGTCTCGGAGGAGCAGAGGGGGCGGCCCGTCTCGGTGGCGGCGCCGGCAGGTGAGAGACAGAACTAGCAAGTTGTGTACCCTCCCGAGAATATGGTGGGGCGGTGAACATGCCTGATGCTTCATTTCTTTACTGTAATGCGCAATGGAATGCATGCAGGCTGCATTACATTTAATCGGTTATTTGTGTTTTTAATAATCTTATCAGTGTGCTTACAAGTGCCTTGGTTGCAACATACATAGACGCAACAGGTAGCTGCAGCTGCTGTCATGTCGCAACAATTCCGACCGGGACTTCATGATGTCTAGAATCCGTCTGACCACTGGCCTACACCGGGACTCCGGTCCCCCGCCTCCCGAGATGCCCTTACACTGCCCTGTGCGTTCTCTCCTGTCCCTTTTAAACCTGACAACGTTTCAGTCACCGCACGGTTCCTATTGGACCTTAATCAGTCCTTCCGGAATCCCTCCTTTCGACTAGAGATGCCACTTTTGAACCCGCGAACCCGCTTTCTGCGGGTTTTCAAAACCCGCAGGGTTTTTGGCGGGTTCGAGAAGCAAAACTTGTCGTGTGGCGGGTATTTGGCGGTCAGACTTAAGAACCTATAAATTTATTTTTTTAGATGCAAAACACAATGTCAAGTGCATTTGCTCAGGTTAACAATACAATATTCATCAAAATAACTTATAAAACAGAACCAAATATAAAAATATATCAAGGTAACACATTTCAAATGCAAAACTGAAAACAACCAGCAATAGCATCCACAGTCTAGCAATGACCAAACCAGGGTACAAGCAACAAACTACAAAGCATACCTAAGTAAATGCTGATGAAAGCATTCCATAAAACATAAAAGAACCTGAAAACAAACTTATAGGAAGCTGAACTGAAGTCTATGTGCAGTGTGCACTAGATATACATTATGGAAGAACCCAGACTTAAATGAGATGTTGAAAATCAGAGCAAATGCCACATGTTACTTTATTTGCGTCTGGTCGGCATAAAAAAGAGCTATCAGCTAAACAAAATTTGATGCAATGCAAATTCATTAATTACCTATCCTACTCTATGTTCTGTCCCACCCTATATTACGAAAATAACACCAATTACCCTTACAAAAAATCAAAATATGGACTGGCATGCGGCCCAAACATAACGCAATACAAAACTGGCGCACTTCCGACATTCTGACAAGGATTGGCATTTGACTGCGTCAATTTTGGTCTCTGGGGCGAAGGAAAGCTGACATTGATGACGCAATAATAATTTTACAATCAATTTTTCTGTTTTGGTTTTTGAATACCTCAAAATAACAGTTATACATGTTACAAAACCACGTAGCTGGTCGCATTTATTTCTTTTGTCTTTTTACTTGTCATTTGTATGCCGAGAGATGACCAGCCGGGGAGCATTACCAAGACCATCTTTAAAATTATTACATTTAATTTAGTATTAACTGTCTCTTTATTTTTTAACAGGTAATTAACTCTGAATTGTAAAACTTTAGCTGTTGTGTAAAATAACTTTATCAGAATGGCACATGAATATGCATTATACACTCATATACAGCGGTGTTTTCGCAACAAGTTCGCACTAACTACGGCTGCAATAATTTAGTCGCTGAAACATTCCTTGCAATCAGCTGTTGGTGACGCTTCTGACGCATGTTTCCAGAAACGCGTGGTTCATTGGTGGTTAGTTGGTTTTTGCTGGGATTTTGCATGATTTGTTTTATGTGTAGATCGACTGGATACTCATTATTCAACGTGTCACTATTTATTTTTAACTGGAAATCGCATATCTTTTTATATCAACATTCATTTTGATAACAATATCATTCTAGAAGCCTAATATTGAGAGGGAGCTAGAGTGAAATTTTGATCCACAGCCAATGCTGAAGGGTAAGGTGAGAGAAAGATTTTACTGAAATCTTTTCAGAAAGGAATTTCAAATGTATTGATCAATTGATGCATTATTCATTTTCCACTATCCAGTGTGCACTTCCTGAGGACTTAGCATAGAAATTTCAAGTCCTTACTATTTGTTTGGCTGCCTTTTTCTGCACAGCAATGAAGCAAGTAAGGTTTATATAGCTCTAGCATTGACCCAGCTGTATTTTTTTCTTGCAAAAGCAGGTTTTTAAAATTGCGGGTTTTTTGCGGGTTCGGCTCAGCCAAAATCAGCTTGCGGGTAGTTGTGGTTGGGCAAGGGGTAGCTGCGGGGCGGGGCGGGTAATGAAATTGCAAATTTGTGGCATCTCTACTTTCGACCCTGGAGCGCCCTCCCTCTACTTCCTGATCCTGACGTGCCCTCTGCACCTGCCCGCCTGCCCCCTCTCTTCCTTCACCTAGCCCCTCTTCTTCGTCGCTGTAACCGTCACCCTGACCCCCTCCCCGTGCTGCTGTTCCAGACCCGGACTCGCTGCCCCCGCCGGGCCTGCGTCGGTGTCACTCCCAGACCCAGCGGCCGCCGCCACCCGTCCGCCGCCACTCCGCCAACTGGCGGCCCCAGCGCAGCGTCTCTGAGACCGTGCGCTCCCTGAACGCCGTTCAGCACCGGCCGGCCTGTCCGACCGGGTTCAGCGGCGCCGCGGCGGCGGCCTCCCCGGCGGCAGGGGGCGCCGCGCCGCAGTATAACGCCGCCGGCGGGGTCGGGGTCGCCCTGGGCGGGGTGCCGGTGCCCGGCGGGTTCGCGGACGGCGGGGTGGGCGCGTCGCCGCTGCTGCGTCTGGGCTCGTTCTCGGCCGGGGATGGTCAGCAGAGGCAGCGACACTCTCTGATGGACCAGATCCGGCGCGGAGGGGAGCTCCGACAGACGGCGGCAGCGGCGGCGGCGGCGGACCGCCAGGTGCCCGTGTTCCGCTCCTGAGCGGTCAGGGTACGGGGCTCGAATATCACCGCGTCCGGCACAGCCGCCGCCACGGGCACTGGGGTCCAGTGAGGTCCCAGGGTGTAGGACAGGCCCTCGCTGGCCCGTGAACCCCTTTACAGACCCTGAATGGCCAGAGGGCCCTGGGAGCTTGAGAGGACCTTGTGCGGCACCTTGGTGTTCTGGTAGACCCCCGGATGGCCCTTGAGGCCCTGCGAGACCATGTGGTTACTGCGAGCTCTCCGAATGCTGGATAGGCGCCATGGGCCCTGTGAGGCCCCGGGATTACCAATGGACCCTTGGATGCCCCCAAGATCCCCGGGGTGTCAGTAGACCCCTGGTCGGCACCCGAGGGCCCCTGTGCGGGCCTCGGAGGGCCAACAACCGACTCAGGAACGCTGACCGGCCGTCTGTATTGTGTTGTCGCGCGTTTTGTACGGGGAATGCGTGGCGTGTGCGTAAGAGAGCGAGAGACCGCCGCCGGCGCGGCTGACGTCGTGATGTGATGTGTGTGATGTTACTGTGACGTTCGCTGATGTTTCGCGGTGCTCGCCGAGCTGGCGCCGGAACGTGTTATTGTTCGGGTGATGATCGAAAATGGCTGGGCAGCGCGACTCGGAACTGTGCAGGATATGGGGTAAATGGTAACCAACTCCGCGACAGTCTAGGCCGCTCGTGCGAGAGCTGTACCGACAGACTGAGATCTACGGTAGGGAATATTAATGACAGCTGGTCACAGCCACGGAGTCGAGTCTCTGTAACACGAGTGGCCACGCCTGGAGCTGACCAAATGTGCTCCGCTGTGTTTATCGAGCGGGAACAGGACCGACTGCATGTACTAACACGGCTCACCCGGCTCCAAGACATCGTATCGGACGGAATGTGCCACGTATGACTGATGCTGCTCGTTGTTGAGTCGTTAACTGGGTTCTAGTCGGTCGGATGAATCGTTTATTGTCTATTTCTTCTCGTTGGTTTTGTTGTATTGTGGCTCGCGCAGTGCTGCCTGTATAAAGGTTCTGTTATATAATCTCTGGAGGCTTCAGTGGCGCGCTTACTGTGTCTGTGTTTTGCGCGCGCCGGTCTGAGCAAGTGAGCTGTGTGGGAGATGTGGCGCTCGAACCGTGTATCCGAGCGGACGCCGTGGAGATTTGGCGCCAACGGTGGGTGGCGCGCCGCCGGGCTCCGGACGCGCGGAGACTATGTAACTGAAGCCGGGTATATCCATTGGACGCGGCGCGGCAGAATCTCGCAGGCATTGTCTGTACATACTGGACAATACAGCCACTTATATACAAAAGTGTATTCTGTTTGGCGTCTGTGGTAAGTGTGGTAAGACGGCACAGAGATGGGCTCGAAGTAAACGAGCGAGAGGAACACAATGTCTAGCTACTCACAGAACACGGAGCCGCCGCAGGAACGGCGTTTGGTCCATCCAGGGCGGTACCAGCAGATTTCGTTCTCAGTGTCGAAACGGCTTGGACTCACCAATGGACTATCAGCTTCCATTGAAGATGGAAAGTATCGAATCGTCAGCTGGTAACATACAGAGGTCTAGGAGACAACCAGTTTTGGTTTTGTAACGTAGTCACATTACTATGCAGAAACAATGTAGCATGTCCCAATCTTACGACGACAGAGCCGGGGGGGACGTACTTTTCTCCCGTATGAGCTTTATGAACATCCTCTCTTCTTCTCATGAACCTTCTCAATGCCTCCTTATTCTCTCTGTCTTGTACCGGCACCACCTCTATCGACACAGACACATGTACCGCTCCGCCTTACCCGCCCGGTCAGCGTCAAGAGTTCGCACTAAAGTTCGATCACCTCCGGCGACTCTGATCCGCTGAGGGCTCGGCGTTTTTTGGCCGGCGGCGTGCCCTGGTCGGACTGAGCCGGCCGTTTGGAGGCCGGCGTCCCCACGGTGGTAGTGGTGGCGGTGGGGACCTCCCCGTCCGTCCCGGTCCCGTCCTCTCCCTCGGATAGACACACCAGGTCGTCGTCGTCTTCGACCGTGGTCGTTGCTTTGCCTGGAAGGAGAAGGGGGAGGGGGGGGGGGGGGTTAGAATCTAGAGAAGTTCAGAACCTACCGAAACAATGACACGTATGGTGGATAGCGGGAATGCGTGTTGTGAATTATAATTTAGTTTATTCGAAGTTTTGAATGCATCAGAACACTAACAATCCAGCATGGGACGCATCCGTTAAAGACAATCACACTGACACCGGGAGGTCTGATCGATCGTTCAACACCACCCATTACGAATTAACCATGCCGATTAAAATCATTCCCTCAGTCCCACAGAACCCTGTGCTCGGAGTCCGAGCCATCCCTCCGACTCACCGGCGCCGTTGCCGCTACCGTTGGCTGCCGCCGAGCCGCCGGCGTCCGCTGAGGAAGGACCCGCCTCGCCGTCGGCGCGGGCGGGGGCGGCGGGCTGCAGCTGGCTGGCGTCGCCCACCACCTCAAACTCCTGGCCGTCCGGTAGCTCCGTGCTGTGTGGAGTAGAGGGGGAGGGCAATCATTACGCGGCTAACATTGAAAATGGCAATCATTACGCGGCTAACATTGCACTTCTAATTTAGCCTGCAAAATACAAATGCATATAGGAGGCCTTCGTGACATTTTGTTTCATCCATGAGCGAGAACTTTCAGGGCCAATTGATCAGTCACAAAGCCTAAGTCCTGCAAGATACCTAACATCCTTCCTTCTCTTAACCCACTCACCTGTTGACGATATTGACTATGAGCTCGTAGTTTTGCAGAAAGTCGTCACAGCGCAGGCGCGCGCCGTCCCTGACGCCGAGCTCGGCCAGGGTGCGCGGCGCGTTGGCGGCCGTCTCTCCCTCCTCTGACGAGATGAGGATGGTGCCCCGGCCGTCCAGCAGTTCGGCGTCCGGAGCCACCATGTTCAGCGCCGCCTTCAGCACCCGCTCCTCCAGTGCCTGTAGCTTCATCTGACTCACGTCCAGACGCACCGTCACCTGTAGAAGCGGGAGGTGGTCAGACAATGCAGAATAGTTACGGTCTAGATCTGTGGTAGCTGGCAGTTGTTGAGCTGTGTACGTGGCAGCTGTTCTGTTTCTATCGATTACATTCAGCTAGACTCCCTATTGCGCAAAGGTGGGTGTTTGCTCTCCGTCTCTTTTACTCTGTACGTCTACATGCAATCGATTCTAGCGATAAAATTCTAGCAAAAAAAAAAAAAAAATACACAAGACACGTCAAACTCAACGCTACATCGGTCTAGACAGCTTCATTCGGGCTTTTCCGAATAGTCCTACCTCCGGTTTCTCAGCGCAGACGTAGCACTTGGGGTTGGGCTTCTCCAGGACACAGGGTACGAGCAGCCGTTTCCTAGCGTTGGGTTGCCGGTTCAGGTACACCTGGCGGCGCGGAGGGCAGGCCCAGGTCAGACGTGGGTCAACGGGGGAGTCATGGCGGGTCGACTGTGAACTGCGGTCAGCAGTCAGAGGAGGCTGTATTTAGTCAGAGCCAGCAGGGGCCATTAAAGGCTGATTATATCTGTGTCTGTGGCTGCTTCTGAACAAAGAAACGTAAAAACAAGATTCATCTCTTGTGAATCGTCAATTACCAAAGCGTACAAGCGTGCTCCGTCTCGAAAAACGCGGACGATTTACACCCTACCCAACCTCTCTCCCTCCTCCATATTGGCACAATAATATTGTCCCTCCTAGCCGCCCAGTCTCCCCCGTCCGCGTCCATCCGCCCCAGCCGTACCGTTTTGCAGTCGTCCAGCCGTCCCTCGAGCAGTTTGAAGGCCTCAAACACCACCATGGCAGCGATGATGGCGTTGGTGGTGGCGATCGCCGGGATGATGTTGCCGGCCATCGCTGACGGCAGCCGCGGGAAAGGTCAGTTTAGGGGTCAACCGGGATTACACGAAGGTCACTACGTCCGGCTTCTAGGCGGTGGTGATCATATTTTCGAGTTTGGGCCGTTTAGCTCTTAACAATCGCCTTTAACAATAATTTTGCTACATCATAGCTGATGCTAAGTACCTACCAACCTTTAGAGCTCAGTAAACTTCATAAACTTTCCGAAATCACTCCCACACACACACACATACCTCGTCCTTAGCTCCGGTTGTTTTTCAATCGAAAAACAATTCTAACGTATAGTGTTTGTCTATTTCAAACAACCTACGGTTACACCACACGGCAGTACACGGCCTCCCTCTCCACTTCATTACAGTCTACACTGCAGTCCATCAAAACCGCCGTCCCACCCCAAACTCACATTTGATGGTGAAGCGCGTGTTGAGCCGGATGCCGAAGCAGTGTGCGCGCAGGTTGGCGCACGCCGCCACAAAGTCCATGCCGTTCTCGTCGTCCTTATCCCAGACCAGATGGTCGCCGGCGGGCCGGGCGGCCAGCTGGTCCTTGAGCCGGCCGACAGCGCGCTCCAGGACGGCAGCACACTCAGCCGGCGGCCACAGACGCTGGTCCGAGAGGGACGAGTCGGCGGTGGAGCTGCTGCTGCTGTCGGCCACTGCGGGGGACGGGAGGGACTGGTGTTACCTGCTGGTGCTGTTTGGCGTTTGATTAGCAGATTTGGTGTTATGGGGCGCACCAGCAACGAGGCTATATGGCGTTTGATTAACAGAGAGCATAAACAACAGAAGACTCTTCGAACCAAAACCCCGATCAGATTCGAAATGGATATGACCTTGAGTCCTTGACCAATAAATGATCAGCCCACCCTTGGTTCGCTTCTATTCTGACAAATCATCTCTACCAATCCTGTAAGCAATGACAAGCTAAATAAGGAACTCCAAGCCAATGCGCAAACTCAAACACAATTCTCTCTCAATCCTACGACTCGCTCCCCTGCTCTCCCCACCTACGTCGGGCAGCTACGACACCCTCCCCTGGCCCCTGCTCTCTCTCTCTCTCTCTCCTCACCTGCGTCAGGCAGAGTGTCCCAGTCGAGCGGCGTGGGTGGCCGCCTCTTCTGCCACAGCTTATCCATCGTCAGCAGGTAGCGGATGTCGTCATTGAACAGCTTGCGGAACAGCTTACGCGGTTCGTAGTCATTCTGCGCCGCCCAGCCGCGCGTGGAGACCCGCTCTACGTTACCGTCCTCGCGGGCTGGTTCGGAGAGAGCCGCCGAGCCGGCCGCGTCACCTGAGTGGGGAGGCAGGAGGGCAGAGTGTATGTTACTGATATGTTTAGGTCAAAATGACCTTCGGTTCATGGATGGGTGGTCGACCCTCCTTGTTCAGAACTTATAACAGCTGAATAGCATAATTTGTTTATTCCGTCAGAATACCTTTTTATTTACGATACCCCATCCCCTCCCTCCAGAGCTGACAGCACGTTAAAGCAGCAAAGTTGTCCCGCCCCGTGCAGTCTGCCTAGTCGGCCGGCACCCACCTGTCAGCTCGGGATCGGCGGTGTCCGGGGATACGTCCTCGTCCGGGTCCGCCTCGCCAAACAGCTGACTAAAAACGACACGCACACACGTCAGAATCACCTCGCTGTGCGCGAGAACACGTGACCTGACAAAAGCCTCACGAGGCGGATCGTAACGAAATACGGAGCAACGCAGTCTGTGGGAACGCAAATAAAGTTACAGACTTAGGTATTCTCGAGGTTATCTTAGGTAGACGATCGGTAATGCATTTCAGAACACGACTACAATGGCTGCAACGTCACGGTTTGCAAACTTCAAATGTTTAACTTTGTTACGATAAATTGCGACAGCGGCCGCTGTAGACCCCGGTGTCTCAGACATCGTCAGGCCCATGCCCGATGGTGTCTCCCCGACTCACTTGAAGAGGTGTTTGGCCCAGACGATGCAGTGGATGGGCTCCGAGGGCGTGTTACGGATCGTACAGCCCGGGAACGTCTTCTGCGCCGGCTTCGGCTGGCACTCATAGCACTCGGTCACGCCGCGCTTAATCACCTGTAAGTTTAATGACGTCAGGTGAGGGCAGTGTGCGAGTACCCACCAATACACAAATCATGACACTTTTAAACATTCCAGATGCCCGCTTCGATTTTCTAACTTAAACTTAAAATTTTACATCAACGGATTGACGAAAGCAGAACCTATAAAGGCAGCAGAGTATCTTACACAATGTGCACTGAACAAGCTCTGAAATATTATGTCATCTTATCAGGGATTCCGATTTATAGCATAATTAAGATGCCAAATTCAGTAAACGTGATGGCATAGTCGATACACAGTCCGTACCACTCCCTGTGGCTGCACTTGCCAACGTAGGTGCATGGCCGTACAGAGTCTCGTATCCGAAGGTTGGGACTTTTCAATTAGAACATCACTATTCTTTATATATTGAACGCCAGAGTATATCGGGCGCCAGAGCGACTTCAAACTGCTCTCTTACCACCGGGAGACCGGCGCTCCACCAAAACGACAAACAATTTCCCGTCATACCACCATGTCACAGCCCTTGACCTTTACCTGGCTGACCCCTGACCCCCCTGACGGTGACCTGTCCGAGGTAGCCGGCCGTGCCGCCCTGACCCCGCTCCCCCTCCCCCCGTACAGACAGACCCACGCCCACCATACTGACCGTGACCTGTCCCAGGTAGCCGGCCGTCCCGCTCTGACCCCCCCCCCCCCCCCCCCAACTGTCCCCCTACTGACCGTGACCTGTCCGAGGTAGCCGGCCGTACCGCTCTCCACCAGCGGCACCTGCGCCGCCAGACACATCCGGTTCACGTGGTTCCGAGCCGCCCGGTTATCCAGCGCGTTCAGCACCAGCGTGAAGCCCTTGAAGAAGTTGACGCCGTACTCCTGACTGGCGGGGTGAAAACAGCATCATCATTTAGAATTAGCGTGTGCTGAAAGTAGGTTACAACTTGCAAACTATGTAGGGTATGCAATGCTTGAGAGTTGTCACCAAGTCATCAATGAAAAAGCAGAAAAGCTGTACCATATACAAACCGCACAGTCTGTTACACCTCATGTTCTCTCTCAGCTTCATTTCAAAAAGCTGTTTGCCGCTTAGTGTTTTCATTTCAATAACAGATGAAGCGCAGACTACAGTCGGTAGACTGCAGCACCACCCGCACCTCCAGCATACCTCATGACGCTGTCATGGTGCGCCTTGAGGGTGACGGATGGGTTGAAACCCAGGGCGGCCTCACAGGCCACCTTGGCCTTGGACTTGCCGACATGCTGCCTTTGGAACAGAAACTGCCTGTTCAGGTTGCTCACGTCAATGGTGTCCAGATCAATCTGAAAAAGAGTTTGAATGTGAATGAAGGAGTAAGTCAAGAAAATGGTTAAATAATGTCCTGGGTGGTGACTGGTGAAAACTGGAAATTGAAAGGTTGTTTCTGTGCCTCCCCCATACTGATCAATACATGATCAATACATGATCAATAAAAATATACATACATTCAATACATACATGATCAATGAAAACTGAACCAAGCCGAACTGGTAATCCACGGTCGAGTTCAGAGCTGTACCACAGTAGAGCCCGCACAACTTTACAAATAAAAACAGTGCCGTGCCACAGTGGAAGTAAATCCACACCACACCATGCACCAGCCGAGGGCAATCACACCGACAGGACGTAGTCAAAATTATTTACATTGTCATCATGCCTTGCAATCTACGGTTAACTCAGTTAAGGCTAACAAGCACACTTACCACTTCAATGTTTTTGAAACCTGAAAGAACCAGGTTCTTTAGAACTTCACAGCCGATTCCCCCAGCCCCAACTAGCAAAAGTTTTGCGTCGACGACAGACTTCTTCAGAGTGGAAGGTAAAATATCAGCAGGACCCTCCATAGTCAAAAAAGTCTTCCAATCTCAGTTCTGTATTATACAACTTCAAGTCCTGCTAGTTGTCACTTGTCGGTCCTTTTCCAGCAAAGATACACTCATGAGGACATATACAAATCTAAAACCAACAATCCAAATCACAATAAATAGGCGAACGACGCATCCTATGCATTCAGCCACCGGTACAAAAACACGACAATCAATCGAGTGATAAACATGAAACTAATTAATAAGAAACACAGATTAATGACGTTACTAAATTGACTAATCAGCTTTCCGTGTTCCTGTGAAATCGCTAGCAATAATTGTTAGCATGCAATAGTGTTTGGAAAGTAAATTTGTTTCTGTGACATCATCATTTTATATTTTGATACTTATTTGATGTGAAAATTTGTAATTGCCGGTGCGGCAAATCCAGTGCGCCGTAAACGTAGTTCGAAAGAAAGCACGTTGTGAGGGTACCATCCTATTTATTCTATATTTTACCGGTTTTAATGCTTAGTAGATAGTCATGTAGAAATATGTTCCCTATGTTACGGTCTTTCAGACCAGTTGCACTTGGTAGCAAGACTGGCAAGTCTGGACAAATTCCAACCCAAGGCAAATTCCTCACCACTACTGTTTCCCATCCTAGCTCAGTCCCCTCAGTCATTTCCTTTCACCTTCAATTTGCTTAGTTCTGTGAGAAGAGCACTAGACTGAAGAGAACTAAGGCCAGACTGGAAAAAATACACCTTATGTTGAATGTGTCGTCGCCGTGCAGCGTGGCGAATGGATCAAGACACGTAGAGTAAAATCAGTTGCTCTTCAACTTGCTGTAAATATTGCTTGATGCATGCTGCATGAAGTGCATGAGTCTGCACGTCACACAAGGTCAAACAAGTGACCCTGCAAAGCTGTCTCTGGGTCTTCATCAGCTTCTGCAAAGCTTCTGTGCCTGTTCAGGGAGTACTTGCTCTGCCGCTGAGCACTGGGTCCTGTCTGTCTCCCTGTTGTGGTCCTGTCTGCACCTTGCATGCCTGCACAGCCTGCATTACTCACAAAATGCCACTAAACAGAACACCACCAAGGTCCCGCCCAAATGGTAAAACTCCAACAAACCAGAATCCGTCCCCGGATCATGTGAGTACGGTGGCTAATACAATTGGCCTCCTACCCCTTGATGTTGGCACCAGTGTTTCTCCTACGGTTGTACGGGCTAACCATGGGGGCAATCTCAACCCCTCCATCTGTCCAGGCGGACCAGGCAACTTGACGTGCCACCTGGAAGTGAAAGACTCCCAGCAAGGGGTCCAATGCGATCTTTGTGGAAACTGGTTTCATGCATTTTGCCAAGATATAGCCAAAGCCGCCTACAATGCACTGAAAAGATATGATGTACTGTCATTTATCTGTGACTCATGCCGAAAACTTCCAAATCTCGGCAAACTTCAGCCCAGGTCTTGCATGAGTGAGTCAGCTATGCAAACAGAGAATTGTCAGGACCAACTCCAGCCAGCAAACAATGACCTTCTAGCTGAACTAATTAAGAAGGTGAACAACCTTGAACTGGCGGTGAAAAATCATTTGACAGCAGGCACTGCTGCAGATCAAGGAAGCCTGCCCCCATCTGAGAAGCAAACACTCTCTGCAAGAGATGGCCCAACATATGCAGAGAAACTAAGGGGGCCCCACTTGCAACCTCACCCCCCACAAACACATAGTAGCTACCCTTCCCAGGGTGCACCTCAGATGATTCAGCAAGCAACAGATAACTACCGTAGAGTCGTTCGTGAAGAGCTTCGAGAACTAGAAGAACGCAAGAAACGTCAAAACTCTCTGGTCATTAGGGGCCTCAGGGCTAAGACTGCAGCTGAGGCAGCCGCCAAGTTTGGCGAAATATCAGAGCTTCTGATAGGTGAGAAAGTTGTGCTTTCTGAGGCATGTCAAATCAAGAATGATACAGATCTATACCGGGGAAACGTCCACAACGTCAGACAAAGAAATCTGTTACTTGAACACGCACGAGAACTCAAGTACACCTCTTACTCACATGTATTCATCCGAAAAGATCTGACCTATACCCAGCGTCAAGAGCTTCAACAAAGGCTGGCAACTCGGCCACGGCAGAGTGAGTGGCACCAGACAGCACCCCGCCAAGCCCAACATCCAACAGTTGATGGTACAACAACAGTGTCAAACATGCCCAACGCTCAACACCAACCAGATACTGAGCCATCAGAGACACCTGGTGAGCATTCAAGTACAGAAGAAACTGTTCCGAAACAGCTCGAAACAGGCCCCCCTCCCCGTCCACCAAGGGACCAAGGGATCACGGCCACTGAAGCTCCAGCCTGTCAAGCGGCTCCCACTCAGCCAGACCCCCCACGAAGTGACAGCCCACCCAGGAACTCGGGAAACTGAGATGGCATGGCCAAACTAGCCACACTCAAGTTTTAAACTTTGCACATTGTAATGTAAATGGCCTGTGCACCAAGTTAAACGTTCTTCAACACATCCTCAATATGCATGACACCACTGACATACTGCTAATATCAGAAACTCACCTAACCCCAGACGTTGGAGATGCTGTTGTAAGAATACCTGGTTATTCACTTCTGCGCAATGATAGTGGGGGCTCAAGTATACATGGTGTTTGCGCATACATCTCTGAAAGACTTCAAGTTGAGGATGTTGATTCATCTTACCCCAATGTCATCATATTTCATCTGTCCGCCCTGGAATTGCATGTGGTTGCAGTATACAGGCCACCCTCGAACTCACCGGAACAGAATGACATGCTAATGGCATTCCTGCGTCAAATATGTACTGGCAAAGAACTCATTCTCATTGGAGATTTGAATCTACCGACCATCACTTGGTCACTTGATTCTATGAAGCCCATCTCTTCATCAGACTCGAAGTTTTTGGACTTGTTTGACACACTTGGACTCACCCAGTGGATCCATGAGGCAACATTTCCACGATCAGGGAACATATTGGACTTGATTTTGACAACAGAATCAGACAGGATAAATGAAGTAGAGGTGAGGCCCCCACCACCTGGCTGTGACCACTGCAGTATCCACTGTCAGTACACATTCGACAAAGAAATTTGCTCATCATCACACGCACCTGGTCACATACTCTGGCACAAAGGACAATACAATAATATCAACAACGTCCTCAGCGAGGTGGATTGGGATGTTGAACTTGCGCACCTGAACGCAGAAGAGGCCTTCAACAGGCTCCTTCAAGTCCTACAGCCACTGATACGCCAATATATCCCCATTTCTAATCGCAACAAACCAAAGAGCAAAGTCCCCTGGAAGACTAATCCTCCGACATCTCTCAAGACGAGACGTACCAGGGCATGGCAACAATACAAGCGTGCTAGATCTCTACATGGTCGTAAATCGCACATCACTCAAGATCTCCTCTCTTCATTTATGCGAATCAATAAGGAGCTTCACCTCTTCACTTTCTACTCGCAAGTGGAATATGAAAAGTCGCTACTTCTGAAGATGAAGGAGAACCCAAAGCTACTACATGCTCACCTCCGCAGCAAGAAGAAGTTCCGCTCCTCAGTAGGACCAATTCGACTTCCTGACAGCACCACAACTGACAGTCCAATTGAGATGGCAGAATGTTTTGCCGAAGCTTTCGCCAGTGTGTATCGACCTGAAGTGCCGTCACACCCAGCACCTCACCAACAGTGTGATGGAGCACTTGAATCCGTCGATTTCGACTCTGCAGAGGTGAAGAAGGTGCTGATGGATCTCGACGTGAATTCTGCTATGGGCCCAGACGGTCTTCATCCCCGTTTTCTGAAAGAGTGTGCAGCTCACCTGGCTCGCCCTCTATCCAGGATATTTCATCTCTCACTGGAAGAAGGATCACTCCCCTCACTCTGGAAGCTATCGATCGTGGTACCAATCTTCAAGAAGGGGTCTCACGTCGATCCTTTGAACTACCGGCCGATCTGTTTGCCATCAGTCCCCGCAAAATGCCTGGAAAGACTGATCTCTAATGGTTTGAACATCTTCCTCAATGAAAACAACATCTTCATCGATCACCAATTTGGTTTTCGACCAGGGATGTCTACGGAGGACCAGCTTCTGTCCACTTACGAGTATATATCAAGTGAGATCGACAAAGGGAAAATAGTTGATCTTATCCTCTTTGACTTTGCAAAAGCATTCGACGTTGTCTGTCACCATATTCTGCTAGACAAGCTTGGGCACATAGGCATCGGGGGAGACCTTCTAAGGTGGCTCAAAGAATTTCTATGTGACAGATCGATGCAAGTGGTCGTCAAAGATGCATACAGCGCACCAAGATACGTCAAAAGTGGTGTACCCCAAGGGTCAGTCCTCGGCCCAGTTCTTTTTCTAATATATATTAACCACATCGCGACAAACCTTAAATGTCACTACAAGATATTCGCAGACGATCTCAAAATATACACATGCATTGATAGTTCGAACATCGGCCGTGACACTGCAAGTCTGCAATCTGATATCAACCTTCTCCACGCAACCGCCAAGTCATGGGGATTACACATGAATTCAAAGAAGTGTGTCACTCTTCGTTTCAAGAGACGCTCACACATCTTGGATAGACCCAGCTATACCCTCGATGGACGTCAACTTCCCGATTCAGTCGCCCAGGTTGATCTTGGAATACTCGTTGACGACCAACTGAAGTTCCATGAACACAGCAGAACAGTGACAATGAAAGCCGGCGGCGTAGCCCACAACCTCCTGAAAGGCACAGTATGTAGAGAACCTGAATTTATGATACACATACTTAAAACGCACATCAGGCCTATTCTGGAATATGCGTCGCCTGTCTGGAACACTGGATATGTCCAGGACAGGAAAAGGCTGGAATCAGTGCAAAGGCTATGGACCCGCCAGATAAAGGGACTTGAAGGCAAAGAGTATGGGGACAGGCTACGAACGCTCGACCTTTACTCCATAAAGGGACGACTACTGAGGGCTGACCTGATCAAATGCTGGAAAATCTTCAACGGAAACTGTCCAATACAACCTGCAGATCTATGGGATATCTCCCGTGACACTCGTACAAGAGGTCATCCGTTCAAAATCCGAGTGAGCCGCAGTCAAGTTGACGCCAGAGCCCGCTTCTTCTCCCAGCGTGTCGTCCAAGACTGGAACTCCCTGCCGACCTGGGTGGTCACATCCAAGACACTGAAGGAGTTCAAGTCTGCCTTGGAAACCTGTCTCGGAAGTCGACTATTTGATTATCTCCAGTAGCTGAAAAAGAAACACACCCAATCAATCCTGCCTGTCCCTGGTAGGCGCCCCCTCTTATCAAGCAAGAGTGGGGTTATACGCGCCAGGGACTCCCATCCCCGCCCTTGTTCCTAATTCCCTCCCCAAATCCTCACTATCTTGTCTATCCATTCTGATTCATCTCATTCTCCATATGTTACTCACTTCATCGCACATCTTAGTCAACACTTCTTTTGTTGTTGCAAATTGCACAAAGACTACCTCCACCAGCAACAACTATACCCAAGCAGACGTACCATTCCAACCCTTAACAATTGCACAGTCCAGTTCTGAATGTCCTGCTTATCTATTGTCCGGGTTGGCACGTCTCTCTTCGACACGGTTTCCTGTCTAATAACCCTACCACCATCTGGGCAATGAGCAAGGAAACCTAACAGGTGAGTTCAACAGGTGAGTGTCCAGCGTAGTGGTGGGATTGGGATTGCGTCAAAAATTTAAGCGTACTCCGGCGTAACTTCACATGCACTGAATTCAGTGCATGGAGGCTGAGGTTTTCGGCGCAGGCCCGGGGCGGCAGCCAATTTTTTTTGGCGAAAGACGGTCTCCAAATTAAGTTGGCACGCTGGTCAATTTAGCAGCAGATTCGCCCTGTGAGCGGCTGTGAAGAGCTTTCGGGGCGAGATGTCCACGCCCTACCCGCGGTCGTCGCGTGCTCGAACTGACAAGTGACAAGCCACCCTGAGTAAACTCAGCGGAGGAGAGGCCGCCCAGGTGAGGCTTCAACCCTCGGCATGGAGATAGGTATGGAAGACCTTGTTGAACATCGCCGAGCGTCGTTAAGTAATACCGCAGTGGGTTCCTGCCCACTGCGGTATCGAGGGGAATGAGAGCGCGGACGACCTGGCGAAACGAGCGGCCGCCCTCAAATGCCCGCTCGCTGACCATGGCGGTTCATTGTGCGGCCTCGCATCAATGGCGCGACAACTGGTCTGAGTCACTATTCAGACCACTCCTCGGGAGCACGCCGCCGCTCCCTATCCCCGGAGAGGACCGAAAGGACGCCGTTTCGGTGCACCAGATGAGGGCGGGCTACTGGGGCCGCTCGCTCCAGTACGTGCACCGAATCGGCTGTCTCCACTCTGCGGCGTGCCAGCAGTGCCCACACAAGCGGTGTCCCGCGTTGCTCTGCGCCGTGTGCCGAGAAGAGGCTGATGTCGTTGCCAGCCTCGAATACTGGGCCGGTTCCGTAGCTCAGTCGGTAGAGCGTTGAGCTCCGCGTGGTGAGAGCACGCGTTCCCGGTTATAACAATCCGGGTTCGAACCGCGACGGGCGCGACTCCTGACAGGTATGGTTGCAGTTGGTGGCAGGCCGTAGCCAGGCGAAGTATCGGTAAAGTAACAGGAAATGTAGGGAGATTTAAAAAAAAAAATCTTGTGATATCAGATCAGACATCAAAATTACGAAGATGTTTTGTCATAACATACCTTCTTCCAAACAGTACACCTTTTTACGTTAGCTTTTGACCATTGGACAAAACATTTGTACACATTCGCCATATAGTTAGGTGCCGCTACAAATGGGCGATTGGTCACAAATAATCACCATTTGGCAAAACTATTCGGCGGTCCTCCTCTACAGCTCGACATTGAGCGAATGGTTCAACATTGTGCAAAGCAAATCGCCAATGGTCAGAACTATTCGTCATATGCCGAGCTGGCTCGCTCAATGCCGAATACTGTCGAACTCGAAGTGTTAAACTGTTTTGCAGATCGCTCATTTCAGTGTTCAATCTGTTTTGCTAAATGGCTGAAATGGAACACACAACGGCGGAATAGTTGGGCTGAATGCCATTGCCAATTGCTGAAATGGCTCCTCAACGAGTTATGGCGAATGGTTGAGTTCAAATGCAAAAAGGTGTAGAAATAGTGAAATGCCTTTTGGGCAAAGAATGAGCGAGCGAGAGAGTGAGTCCTGAAGGCTGTTCACAGGCCCTGTGTGTGGTAGGACCGTACACAGGCTCCAAGCTCCGCGCACTGCGTCCCTACGTCAGCCTTCCGTCACCGCACACAGCCATGTGACGTCATACCGACTACCCCTCCTCTCCTCTGCCCCCACGCCTGCTGCACACACGGCACGCAGCAGTGTGCGGTGCCCGTGAACAGTCCTCGGCACTTGCAGGAGGCCAAGAAATTCCAAATGGCTTTGAGGTGCGATTAGTCCACCCGTTTTCAAGACCTGAAAGTGTCCCTTGTCCGTGTGCATATGCAGTGTCACCCTAATTGTAAAACATAGGAATGCATTGCCTGGTGGATGCCAATCTGCATGCCAAGTTTCATTAAATCGTCATAATAATTGCCGAGCTGTTTTAAGAGAAACAAACTATTTGACACACCTTTTTGCATTTAGCACTGTGCATGTGCAGTGGGGGGTGACACACATGCATCGAAAGCATCTGATGTTTTGTAGAAGGGATGTAGGTAACTGTGAACTGCCTTACAAAAACTACTGCAAGTCAATTGCTCCAGTGGTTGCCAAGATATAAGCTCTCAAAGTCACCACTTAAGCAGAGCAACTTTAACACCCTTCACCCACGGCTTTCAAATGGCACCGGGCACGGGCCACATCGGTCACCTAGATAGATCAAGAGTAGGTAGTCATTTACAGAGGAGAAGGGATGGGGCTACCCAACAAAAAGGGCCGCAGGTCAATTCAATCGGCCCAGCAGTTTCTGAGCCACAAGCTTCTCAAATGCGTCACAGACCGGGCCGGCCGGACCAGGCCGGACCAGGCTGCTCATACGGAGATTTTTCCTTGATCTTGAAAAGACCGCGCTTTGCTCGCTCGTAATTAAAGTGGAAGTCTGAATCCACACGATGAAATGAAGCTTTTGAACTTGGTGAATTCTACTGTATTCATATCTTCTGACTTGTCAATTGTTTTCCATTGATAATAAACCTGCACTTATAACTCGCTGCCTACAAATGACACCTTTTTTTTTACCCGCAGAGCTGGTAAGGTGCCTTCACAGCCGATAGTCATGTCATTTTTGTTTGAAGTTGAGCATGGAAGGCAGTGGTTCCAATACGATGCCACCGTCCAAACGTATCTGCAGGATGGACCGCAAGGTGAGCAAGAGGGGATTTGAATGTCAAACTTTCCGCCATTTCCTTGTATACTGAATGGGATCGTTCAAGGTATTTCTGATCTTACACCTGACTGTGACGAGCCACTAGTGCTGGGGAACTGCTGCTCATCGGTCTCACTGTGTCTGACTTTCTTTCCTTCGACCTCTAGTTTAAAATTTTTCTCACTACCGGAGACTTCGCGATCTGACCATGGACTGCACCAGTAGACTTCTCTTGGATTTGACGCTGCTTGTTGGCAGATATTTGGTATAATGATTGAAATCTGAACTGGCTATGATTCCTGTTTCAGACGGTGGCACTACGGTGGCGCTGAAGTTGAACGATGCGGACGTGACGGTCAACTTTGAGGAAATGACGCAGGCCAGCTCGACGGCCAAAAAGCCCACCAGGATCCGATGCGTGAAAACTGATGGCACAGGTTTGTAACAAAAAAAAAAAAAAAAAATCGTAATGCGTCGTAAAGTGTAGGTACTTGAATTGGACCTGGACGGTGAAGACAAGTGATCGCACTCGCAGATAGCGAGATTTTTGACCAGGGAAATATTGTTTTTGCTTAATTTACCACCTTAGTGTATAGGACTTATAACTAGACGGTAAAGGTAGATATAGCATGGAATATGAACGAAGCATTATAAATAGAATATTTCCTTAGAACCTACAAATCGACTTCCCGCTTAAGTTTGGCGACGGGGGAGCATATTAGGTATTCGCTCATTGATTAAATTTGTTTTTTTCAGGCAGCTTCAGTTGGAGCATCAAAGAGGGCAAGAAGGAGACATATCTGCCCATGTCCATCATTGAGCTGCTGGAGGACGCCCTCGCGAAGAAGAAGGCCAAGTTCGTGCGACAGGGGGTCACCTACGACCTCAAAAACATGGCTCGGAAGAAGAAGGGCGACGTCGACATGGAACTGGTGCGGGTCACCTGCTCTGGCAAGGCGTACGACGCCAAACACAAGCCGGTGGCGGGCCTGAAGCCTGCTGATGCTGCGGGGGACGCCCAGAACGGCGCTGGAAATGCCAAGAACGACGCTGGAAATGCCAAGGATGCCGGCGATACCGCCAAGAAGGACGCACCCACCAAGAAAGGTAGCAAGAGGAAGAACGCCGCCGCGGCAGCCGCCGACGGTAAGTTTTTTTTTTTTACTCATTGCGGTAAAGTTTCAACGAATTCGGATTAGTTCGCAACGTTTCAGGGTTGAGCAAAGGGTCATTTTGCTGGTCTAGCGTATTGGCGCACAATTAGCACATGCAATGTGTGGATATGCTCATATCCTGTCACTATAAGTGCTTTATTTGTAGCGAGTCGTGGTGACGAGTGGGATGACGGAGGTGCTGCAAGCCGGTGCTCTGACGATATCTTAAAGTGACCATACCACCTTAACATTAGTTTTGAGTTGAGATAGCCAAATTGGTGGCCATGGCCTGCAAATACCGGTTTGGGCACTCACAACATCGAAAAATGCTTTAATTCGGAGATATTGAATTTCAAACTTGCAGTTTTCAGCTTCTAAGGGGCTAATGCATTGGAATGCCCCCTTAGAATTTGTGACGTCAGCGGTGATCTAACGATTTTAAAACCTTATACTTACATCTTTGTGAAGCAGTGATGGTATATGCTATTTGTGCGCAACATCTGCCCCAATCGCCGCATTTCCAAAATGAAGTCGCTAGGAACAGCGGAGATCCCAAAAAGTAAACAAAAGTAAAAGTCTAATATCTTGAAAACCGGTGAATATTTTTCGGTGAAATTTGGTAGATATTCGTTTTTGCTTTTTCTGAACCGAGCGACATCACTTTCATGCCAATTCATTCACTTTTTTGAAGGTGGGAGGGTCCCTTTAACGCTGTGGCGCTATGTTCTCCGTGACGATGTAGTTATGGGCGCCAATGATCCCCGCAGTCCGCCGGGCACCCTGAACCCCCAAATCAACACGTCGACGTCTTCTCCACGACGATATTTTTTCCGTTACGATACCTTTCCATGACGATATCTGACGTCTCTGTCTGGTGACGTCTCTGTCTCTGTCTGGTGACTATGTCTGAGACGCTCCGTCGACGTCTCCCCAGCCGACGCCGACGCCGGGCCTCAGATGAAGTCAGTGGTGCTCAAGGGCCGCGCGCCCGTGGACACCGAGTGCCCGGTGGCCGCCGCCAACCACGTCTACTGCGAGGGCGACGACGTCTGGGACTGCATGCTGAACCAAACCAACATCGGCAACAACAACAACAAGTACTACCTGATCCAGCTGCTGGAGAAGGACGGCAGCGGCTCCTACAGCGTCTGGATGCGCTGGGGCCGCGTCGGCTTCAAGGGACAGAACAGCCTGACCACCTACGGAGCCAACCTGGAGGCCGCCAAACGCGCCTTCGCCTCCAAGTGAGTTGATTTTTTTGGATCATTTTATGATATGGGTCAAGCACGTGGTGGTTTAGGGCGCGTTGATTAGCTTTTATCGTCTTTGCCGTCATATCGGCGCTATCACAGTTGATTGATGCATTGCAAATTGCCGAGAGCGTAGTCAAAGCCTTTGCGATGATTATTTGCGGTAAACATGATGCAATAGGCTGTTGTTGCCCGGTTTCTTAGCGTGGTCCTCCGTCTTTGAGTGGTGTCGATTTTTCTACCATCGAGGCGGCTTTTGGGAACACTGGACGGGGCATGGGGTCACAGAGACTGATCGGCTGTATGACGACAAATTATTGCGCTCTTAGTTCTTCACTAAAGTTAATCTGGCCATAGATTGGTCTGTAGGAATTGGATCTAATAATCATATAGCGGCAGTGTTTCATTTTTCAGCCTTTTTGGTGGCAAATCACACCTAATGGGGAAAATATTTTCATCCCTAAAATATGAATGACCGACTTTACTTCATCTCTGAAAAGAGTTTCATGTATTCCCAACAGCCAGTTCACTTGTCACTTGACAGTTGATGCACCCACATCCTTTTGTTCCACACCCTGTCAAGATCCTGACATGAAATCCTGGTTTATCAGTTAGCATAAAAAATTGGCATTACACCATTTTGCAAAAATACTGCAGTTATTTACTTTTCTTTCTCATCCTAGGATTTTTTTTCTTCATCGGCACACCCAACCAATATCCAATTTTAGAACACTGTATAGCGGTGGGTTTACGCTAGCACGCGCTAGGTTAAGGTCTGGTTAACCCATAGGTTTACCCTGTTAGGTTGGGAACTCGCTGTTTCTCCACAGGCTGCTATTAAATCTGACAGTACCGTTTGTTTCCAGGTTCCAAGACAAGACTAAAAATGCGTGGCGGAACAGGGCCGACTTTGTAAAGGTTCCGGGGAAGTACGATCTGCTCAAAATGGACTATGCTGAGGATGAACCCGACGCCAAGAAACTCAAAACCGAGGCCGAAAAGAAGAAAAAGAAGGAAGTAAGTGGCCTCTTTTTACTTTGTATAGCTCTGTGTAAAAAAAAAGAATTTCTTTAAATAAGAATTACTTAGTTGACAAGCTTAAAACTTGACCAGCTGTCGAATGAGTCACAATTAAGGAATTAACAATGAACTAGTCGAAAAAATAAAACATATAACCTCGTGTGACGCCAGCCCACCGTGCATCCCCTCATCAGTAAATAATACTGTGGCGGCATATGGCGGTGACTTCAGTGGCAGAGACGTCTGACAAATTTATAGCTTCGAAAAGTCTGCGAGTGTTCCGGTTCATTCAATTGTATCGCGTTGCTTGGCGTTACTTATGCATCTTTGTGATTTGTCTGCACTTCAATTTGCTTATAATCCCGATTACAGATTATGATTCTTGCCTTTAAATTAGCTCTATTTCTGGTATTAACCTGAAGTGTAATGTTTTTTTTTTTTTAGATCGCTCCGTGTTCACTGGAGAAGAAGGTGCAGGACCTGATCGAGCTGATCTGCAACGTCAAGGCCATGGAGGAGGCCGTGATGGAGATGCAGTACGACGCCAAGAAGGCGCCGCTGGGTGAGAAGTCGTGCGCCGCAGAACTCTTCGACTCCAGTGTATGATGAGGTCGTGTGTTCGCAGTTGGTGTAGGAGTTGGCTTGGACATCAGATTTTTATGAAAAGGTTCAGTGGCAGGCTAGCAGGCATAAGCGTACAGTCAGTTTGTCGAATCAGACCTTTCACCAACTGAAGGAATCCTACCAGTGAATTTTCGAATGAGACCGCTGGTTGTGACGCGTCCTTTCCGTGTTTTCTCCCGCCGCTGTCTTACTATCCCTATCCACCACAGGGAAGCTGACTGAGGATCAGATCAAGGCTGGGTACGAGGCCCTCAAAGAGATCGACGAGCTCATTAAGGCCAACAAGACGGGCAGGGAGCTGGTGGACGCCTGCAGCGCCTTCTACACGCGCATCCCACACTGCTTCGGGTGAGCAGTCGGCACAGGATGTCTCAGAGGAGGGATGCATAGGCACCCGTTGCTCAAAATCTTCAGTTTCCGACCGTGATACGCACGGCATGGTCCCTCACGTACTCTGTCGACATGCACTCCTCGATACCACCCAGGGCCGCGTTGTTTTACTCTCGATCTTCATAACCATAGACTCTACAATATGTCTATGTGTGGTCTATGTGTTCTCTGTCTGTGTCCTCACTAAAACTCCGTCTGATGCCTCGCCGCCGTGTCCCGTCGACCAGGATGCGTCCTCCGACCATCATCCGCACTGCGCACGAGGTGAAGCTGAAGCTGGAGCTGCTGGAGGCGCTGGGAGACATCCAGACGGCGCTGAAGCTGATCGGGGAGGAGGAGGAGTCGGGTGACGGCAAGGCGCGCCACCCGGCTGACTCCCAGTACCACGCACTCAATGTGGATATCAAACACCTGTCGCCCAGTGATCAGGTGTACAAGGTGTGTAACAGGTGGGGTACAAGGTGTACAAGGTGCGTACTGGGTGGGGTACATGGTGTACAAGGTGCGTACCGGGTGGGGTATAAGGTTTACAAGGTGCGTACCGGGTGGGGTACAAGGTGTACAAGGTGCGTACCGGGTGGGGTACATGGTGTACAAGGTGCGTACCGGGTGGGGTACAAGGTGCGTACCACGTTGGGGTACAAGGTGTACAAGATGCGTACTGGGTGGGGTACAAGGTGTACAAGGTGCGTACCGGGTGGGGTACAAGGTGCGTACCGGGTGGGGTACAAGGTGCGTACCGGGTGGGGTACAAGGTGCGTACCGGGTGGGGTACAAGGTGCGTACCGGGTGGGGTACAAGGTGCGTACAAAGTGCGTACCGGGTGGGGTACAAGGTGTACAAGGTGCGTACCGGGTGGGGTACAAGGTGCGTACAAGGTGCGTACCGGGTGGGGTACAAGGTGTACAAGGTGCGTACCGGGTGGGGTTTAAGGTGCGTACAAGGTGCGTGTCGGGTGGGATACATGGTGCGTACTAGTGTTGATGGGAATTAGTATTAAGACAATTTTAGTGTCTTAAATTATAATGCGCTATGACTCCAGCTGTAACTACGGTCATGACGCACTGGCTGATGACTGTGCGTTGCGTGTGGAGGAGCTCGATAGGTCAACCTCCTCCCCTCCCCTTCCACCACCAGAAAGGTTATGTCAAAGTGCAGTGACGTGGTTTTGAGACATCTTCACAATTTCCTGTCAAATGAGGCATTGTCCTACCTCGCAAACAAGGTTTGCATCGACTCCTGTGCCATTTCCATCGGCTATTGCTGATTAACGAACTCCGATTTCTCCCTCGTCAGACGCTGGAGAAGTACCTGGAGACCACCCACGGTCACACGCACATGGGCTACGGCCTGAAGCTGCTGGACGCATTCTCCGTCACCAAACGCTCCGAGGAGGAGCGCTTCGTCGACCACGGCAACCGCATGCTGCTGTGGCACGGCAGCCGGCTCACCAACTGGGCCGGCATCTTCGGCGCCGGACTGAAGATCGCCCCGCCCGAGGCGCCCTGCACCGGATACATGGTAAGGGGGAGGGGGCGGAGGATAGGTGGGGGCGGTGCAGGCATGGCGCTTCGACGAAAAACGCGAATATGGTGGCTCATTTTGTTTCACTCACTCATTGATTTCTAAACAGTTGTATGAAATAATTTGAAATGCGAAGGTTGAATAGAAGTGACTTGACTTCTTTCGGTAATTGCTGTTGGAACCACAATACTATATAAGTTTTGCGTAATTACATACTTTACCGCCCACATTCTGCCCTTTACTCTCTCTTATCTGGGTATTTACATATTCCGCGAGCTGACCGTGGGTATCACATTCCTCGTTTTCAGTTCGGCAAGGGTATCTACTTTGCCGACATGGCCAGCAAGTCTGCCAACTATTGCTGCGCGTCGCGCTCCAAGAACGAGGGCATCCTGCTACTCTGCGAGGTCTCGCTGGGCAAGGTGGGTGTCTCTTCTCTTTCTTTGGGTGAGTGTATCTTCTGTCTTCCATCGTGAGACTTCAATGTGAGACTGTCTCTCACGATGGGTGTTGCTGCTGTGACTGGGTGATGTAGAAGGGCGTGACGGTGTGAAGGTGCTCTGGATCTAAGTTTGCTGTGTTGTTTTTGCTCGATTGGATGAACGGGTAATGCTGCTTTTTCTTCTCTTCTTTTTTTGTATGGAGAGTGAGTCGCAGACGTTAGAAGACTGACCAATGAATCTCACCAGTTTCGGCCTTACATTGGAGGCGTTTCTTTTTTATTTTTAAGTTGCCGTGGTGCACCTAATTTCCAGTTACGAGTAATATTTTATTTCTCAATTGCGCTGCCTTGCCGAAATCATCTATCGCCATCACGTTTCTGCATTGGTGCTTTACAAAAAACAACTCGTTTGTCTCATTTTCTACCTTATGATTCAGCCGCTGCTCATTATCTAAGCTGACGTTTCCTCCCATTCCACAGCCGAACCAGTTGTATAACGCCAACTACAACGCGGACAAGCTGCCCAAGGGGAAACACTGCACCAAGGGCATGGGCACGGTGGCCCCGCCCTCTACTAACTACGTCACACTGTGAGTGGCACGCGATTGGTCGGAGGTCGGGATTGACAGTAGGCCTGACAGCGACAAGTGTCCTGCTTGATCAGAACTGATTCGATTTCCTGTTGCTCTGTCTATTTTGAGTTTTGGTTTTGGGGTTAGGAGTTTATTGTGTCATTGCTATGTAACTGCTGCATTTCATTACGTGAGGGAATATCATAAGGACTGTCCCAGAGCCTTGTAAGCGCGCACCCTTGGTAATTTTCAATGCATATTCAGGCTGGACACTGGACAGTACCTACTCAGTCCTAGACAGCGCGTTATTCCTCAGTCTGAATAGTCACTGTTACCGCGTGTTGAAATTCACTCCAGCTGCATTCACACCCTCTTTTCTTCCGTTTCGACAGTGACGACGGGGTGGTCGTGCCGATGGGGCCGGCGAAGGACACCCCCGACAAGAACAAGGCCTGTCTGATGTACAACGAGTACATCGTTTATGACGTGGCCCAGGTGCGCATGCGCTACGCCCTGCGCGTCAAGTTCGCGTTCAAGTGAGGCGGTCGGGTTGAGCGAGCGGCGGTCGGTTGGTGGGTCGACCGGCGGGTGGAACGGGCCACCTAGTGATCTGTACGTACTGGTACCTGTGCGTGAGTACCCGTGGCCAAAGAGCATTTGGGTAGTGCGGTCACGGGCCGCTCTTAGTAGCCACAGCAACGCCGGGGAGGAAGCGCGGCCGTGCGTCGGCCGAGATAGTCACATTCCCAGGGAGTGCCGAGCTCATTTCATCGCGCGGAGCTGGCGTCGTTTTACCGAGTTTTGTTGGCGCAGCTGTGAGTTGTTTGTGATCGGTGAGCACTGTGCGGTGCCGCCATGCTTAGTTAGTCATGTGCCTAGAACGTGTCATTATATCTGTGATTCACCTGCCTTTGCTCCAGCCTGTTCAGTGCGCGCTGTACTTCGCTACGGGTGTGGCATTGTTTCTGTGTGGTTAGGACAGTATTACCGTTCCTTTCTCCACTCGCCGTTTTGTTTGTGGTTGATAAAGCCGCTTTTCACAGGCTGCTGTGGATCAATCTAAAACGATAGAAGTTCGTTGCCCATACATGTACTCTTATTCACACCTGGTGACCTGAGGCTCTGATTTCAATTACATTTCCAAACCATCGATGTCGTATTAACAAAAAAGTGGAAGTTCGCTCCGGGGCTCTGTTCAAGTGCTCTGCGGCCGCCGCGGCTCCCGCGGCCGGGAGGCGGAGCCTAATTTCGGTTAGGTTGAACACCCTTGCGGCTGCGGCCGCTGCGGCCGGCGACGAGAATGGCACGGTTGTTTTGAAAGGAGATGCTGATCAAAATTTTGTGCGTAATTGCTTTAAAATGGCTTTATTACTTCAATTAGTACCTTTTTGAAGCAATTATACCTTAACAACATAATAAAATCAACCGAAACAAAGAGCGAAATCCGCAATGTTTTGACTCACGCGCGCAGTTTATGTCGAAGTTTCCTTGCGGTCGCTCCCGAGCGACCGCGGGAGCCGCAGGAAGAGCTACGCATTACCCAGAATGCTGCTCTCGCCTGATTGGCCGCCAGCTAAGCTCCGCCTTTTTGGCCGCGGGAGCCGCGGCGGCCGCGGACACTTGAACAGGGCCCGGGCCAACTAACAGTCCTCGCCGTTCACAAATTAACCTGACATGATGAAAAACACGACATCCATACAACTTAGCGATTCTCTGTATACACACACATATATACCATTTTAAATATAACAAGCAGCTCGGACACTTCCGTGGCACGCGCCTCACGTACCACAACGTAATAACTTTATGATGGAAAAGCTGGCGTGGAAAACTTAGGGCCTCGGGCCTGTCATACCTCCGTACTTCATACCAGGTCCCCGCGGTACACACCAACAAAACCATTACCATTTGCGGCGGACGAATTAGGTACCTATATCATCTCATGTTTTGACGTGTCATCATCACACTGGAAGCTCCCTGGACGTATTCAGCGCCACAGAACCATATTCTACCGACTTCCTCACCAGTCGGTATGGCACTGTCGTCCGTGGGTTATCGCCCGTGCCCCTCCTGTGGGTATACCCCTCTCCCCTGACCTGTCCATGACCACTGGGTACAGATCATATCCGCTATATCGTATCTGTCCATCTCAGGGCGGCGGCAGCCCGAGCGACTTACGCACCAGCCGCTGGGCGATCTTCTGAAACTGTTCGCGGTCTTGGCGCCACATTTTGGCGGCGTCCACGTTCGCGCCACTCTCGTCGTTTGGCTCTGTGGGACACAGGGGAGTCGTTACAGTGGAGGTCATGGGCACATCGTGACTGTTGACGTGCCAACGAACAAACAGTAGTTGAAGTCGCAAAGCGACATCAAACAATGGCAGAACGTGAGTTAGAAGCACTTAGCACACACGAATGACGCATTTGCCGGTATCGCCATTTTTACTACAAGCGTGCACGGATGGCTTGATATCAATCTGTTTCGCCGTTTTGCCGCTCCCGCGATGTCTTCTGTCTAATCACCATCCACAGCCCGCTCAGTGCTCACCTGCCAGCATGCTGACCACCGAGAGCAGGATCTTCTCGACGCTCTGCACGGGGCTCCAGCGCTCTGCCGAGGTCTCGTAGCCCATCGGATCGTCGCCGGGCGCGTGCAGGATGGAGATGCACACACGGCCGTCGGCGTAAACTAGCGCGGAGGGAGGGGTGAGTCAGGAAACGGGTGGCGAATGGTTTGATAAATGAGATTGTGGCTTGCTACACCAAATTTGTGCCACATGGCACACTGTATTACTAACACAGCTGACATATGTGCTGGCTTATGTTCGGCAGATGTAATGACATTGTGACCTGAAGATTTAGAACATAATATTCATGAATCAAGGAAGCAAAAGCCTTACTGTTGGGATGAAACATTTCACAGCAGAATTGCATCTTGGGTGGGTTCAGTGGGTAGTCTGGTGGAAAGGTCAGCTTTGCTGTGAACACTCCTCCATCAAAGCATGTCCCCTCAGGTCCTCTGAAACACAGTACACATGAAAAAACATTCAACATAACTAAGGCAAGTGAAAAATATGACCTCTGCCCTGCAGTTCACCTTTGAAATTGGAGATTATTAAACGTAACTAAGCAGCAAGCATGACCACTCAACTACATGACTTGATAAATTACTTTCAAGGAAAAATTGAACACATCTAACAATTGACCATCAGTTGGAGTAAAATGAAATGATCCTGATCATTACTTACGTAATTAGTGCCTCCCACTCAAAAAAGTTTTCTTCATTGATGGGCCCAGCCAATATTCCCTCGGGTGGATTCAGGGTAAGTTCTGCAAAAGAAAGCTCATTCAGTTGCTTGTTTGTTAATTGCCATTGGCGATCATCCTATGGTGACCCACAATATTCATACATATATTTTAACCAGTGTAAAATGTGAAAAATAATCTCATTAAGCCTGTTTGTTTTCCCATTTAACGTGAAAAACAAAAACTTACGTTTGTACTCCGCCATCAGACGTTTGAGTGCATTGCCAGCCATAGCTAATGAATTAAAGCTGCACCCAGAACCATATAACTTTTCCCGAAGTTTTCCGCCCAAGTACAGTTTCAGCCAACAGAAATATTGCGAAAAAATCAAGCACAGTAAGTTCTGTGTGTGTGTGTTGTGTTGTTGTTTTATATTCTGATGTTGCATGTAAGCTCAAAAGGGTAAAACTCACAAAGTTCTGACGTCATAAAAAAACAAATGATTTGTCATATCTCTTGCTACGTTTTGAGAGTTTCTCATCCTGTCACTACCGCAAAACTTCTTCAATAATTATAGAAATAAAACAAGTTTGTAACAAATCATCAAAAGGAAAAGAACAACAATGAAAAGAAGTATTTATATTGGAAAACTCATGACGTAGCAGTTCAATGAGATACCCAGAAAATACACTAAATTGTTTTCGGCGCAGCACAGACGAGCGCTGCGCAGATGTACCGGTGGGAATTTTTTTTTCGGCTGATTTTTTTCATGTCTGCCTTGTGTGTGGTTTTGTCGTATAATCTGTTTCACTCATCGATTTCGAGACATTTTGATAATTACGTGTCTTCCGATCGCTTGTTGTATGATTCCCTACGCATTTATAAATGATTTTGTTGAACGTTAGATTCGACGTCAGCAATTTGCACGGCATCAGCATTCGTCCATTTGAATTTGCGACCAGGCGTTCATTTCACCAGGCGTTCAGTTCATTTCATTCCAATTCAGTTACTGGAAGCTTAACCTACCTTCTGTACAATGTTGAATGTTAGCTTTAGTAAGTATAAGTAGGTATATGTACCTCCTGGACCCGCCACAAAGGTGTGCTGGTGGGGTATGCCCTGCGGGCGGCCGGCCATGCCACCGCAGTGCGTGCTTGCTAAGCTAAAATAGAGATCTATTTTACTATTCATGACATGCCATCTCCTTTCAGGAATTAAGCATGCAGAGGCCAAGTTTTACACTGGTTCTCTCTGGGCTGTTTCTTGCCTACATTCTCCATTCCTTATGGACAATTGCTTCTCTGTTCTTACCTCCAACATGTCACGAGACATCAAAGGATTGTATTCAGTCTCATCTTAGCACCAAACCAAAACTACAGGTAAGATTATTCAGTTACCCTATTTATCTTATCCAGTTATGGTGCAGTGGTAAAAATGTAGATGAGATAGAATAAAAATGATTTGCTTGAGCAATTTGAGCTGTGTGGGTATATGTAGCCTTGTTCAACATGCAGTGTATAGTTCATAGTTTCCTTATTCAACAATCAACTTATATTTTCTTTGTGTGGAAGCTTACAATGGGATAATTGTAATGTGTGTGGTAGGGCACCCAGGTCTCTAGACTGGCCTGCCTTTGACCCATGACCATGGTAGCAGCCAACTTTTACCATGGATACTATTACCTTTAGCTGTATTTTGAGCATTTTCACACATTTTTCACCATCAGTTGTTGCTCACAGCTTTAGAATGCTTTGTGGTTTTGAAACATAACAATAATGTGTTTTCCAGTTTTTGCTGTATCTGTCCAACTCAGCAAACATTCAAAGCCAATCAGAATTGAAGTTCCTTGGAAGATGGAAGGATCTGGATCTCACAGAAGCAAAGGAAGAGTAAGTGCACATGCTTTTACTTCCATGAAAACGTGGAGCTCAATATTGTGAAACCAGAAATGGTGGATCATGTTGGCAGGATGTAAAAAGTTTTGATGCTGGTTTAGTAGCATTCCAGAGAGAAGCAATTGTTCTAAGATAAGGTAACATATCGTTTCATGCTATGATATGTTGCTGATACCTCAAAGGCCACTCTGTTCAAGCTCAAGGGAACTAGGGTCAAAGAAGAAAGTAGGTCAGCAAATGGGTCATCCACCAAATTTGGCGCCATGCTTTTTGGAGCCAAAATCGTGGCCGAAGACATTTGACATTGTGTGGGGCGCATTACCTGTATGCTTTGTTCGATGCCTAATCTTCGATGTTATTATTACTCCATCGCATTAACATCAGGAGCTTAAGATGCTTGGTAAACCATTTGTTTGATCGTTTCTGGTCCTGATGGCCAGATAGTGTTATGGATTGCTCAAACAATCATATGCTGGTGAGCAGTAATGTTTCTAAATGTGTTGCAAATGCAAGCAAATGGTATTGGCATTCTATTCAATCTCGGCTCCGCGAATCTGCGAATCAATCAAACGGCTGCCTACGTGGGTGCATATCGACATTTCTGTCCCATTTCTTAACCACCACATGGCCACCACCAGTCTGTTCTTCGCCTGCCTGTACCACCCCTCCCCGCGGCCCCGCCGTTCTCTCAGGCAGTACGTCTACGTACCCAGCCTACCTCCCCCCGCCCCTCTCTCTTACAGTACGACAGTACGAACCTTGCCGGACAGTACGTAGTACGTACCCAGGCTACCACCCGCCCCCCGCCGTTTTTTCCCAGACAGTACGTATGTACCCAGCCTACCACCCCCTCTCTGTCTTTGTCTCTCAGACAGTACGCGGTCACCATACCGGGCCTGGCCCAGCAGCGCGCCGGCACCCTCCATCTGCACGCCTTCGTGTCCCCGATGCCGCCTCCGGGCCGCCGCTACCAGGATATGATCAGCAGTCCGGTGGCCGTGTACGCGCGCGCACCCCTCATAGAGAGCCACGTGCCGCAGACGGAGGCGTTCAATCTGCTGGGAGGGGATGAGCAGGTACGGGGAGGGGAGGGGTGAGGTGTAGATGCTGGTGGCTTTGTGGATGGCTCAGATAGAACTAGAAGCCGGAAAATAAAAACGTGCTTTATTTGTTCGTAATTTTAATTTGCGTGCTATTGAACCAGTGCTAAATGGCATTCGATCTTTTTTTGCCACACTAGATAAGACATTCATTCATGAGGACATTTTTTGAAGCAGCTGCATGACTGGGAACTGATGATCTGAATCGTTATCTGGGAGCGGGCTTTTTACACCCATATTCCCGCTCCGCTAGCAGTGACTATCTAAGCAGTTACACCGCCCCCCCCTCCCTACAGAGTGCGCCGCGCTCGTCCCAGCCCCCCGGCTCGGATGGCCGGCCGGTGCCCCACCTGCGTTCCCACGTCCCGCTGCTGGTGCTGGCGGAGGAGGCCGGCCTGCCGCGCAAGGACATGCCGGCAGACATCGCGGCCATGGTGGCCCAGCGGCTGTCGCCCGAGGGCAGGTCAGTGACCCAGGGGGCAGGTCAGTCGGACCCAGAGGGTAGGTTACTGGAGGGCAGGTCAGTGACCCTGAGGCTAGGTCACTGGAGGGCAGGTCAGTGACCCAGAGGGCAGGTCAACGGAGGGCAGGTCACCGGAGGGAAGGTCAGTTGGACCCAGAGGGCAGGTCACTGGGAGGCAGGTCAGTGATCCTGAGGGCAGGTATATTACCCAGATGGCGGGCCAGTGGTACAGCGGGTAGGTCAGTGATCCAGTGGAAGGTCGACGTCCGAGAAGGCAGGTCGGTGTTCGGCTGTCGTCAGAACTCCTGTCGTCGTGTCAGGAGTTCCGGTTAAGCGTGTAGTCTGCTGAGCAGTAGTGACCCATAGCAGTTATACTATGCTCCCGACCTTGGCCTCTCGGTGACGCATTCACTCGTGACCCTAGCCCTGACGCCCCTGACATCACCGTGATCCAGCTGTGACCTTGACCTTGACACATCTGCAGATATCTGCCCCTGCTGCGCGTGGACCAGCTGTCGACCCGGGTCAAACACCTGACCCGCATCACCGCCGCGCCGGGAGAACAGATGAACGTCACAGTCAGACTGGAGCCGGCGCGACTCGGTAAAATGAGGTCAGTCAGGGTACTCAATTTGAAGTCTGTCCGGGTCGGTCTGAATGATGTTAACTAGATAGGTACCCTTCACTGTCAGAAGCTGATGGAAATGCTCGAACGCCTCGGAAAAAAAATATATGCTCATCTGGTTTTCTTTCATGTAGTGATGGCGTGATATCGGTCAACCGATCACAGAACGTTCATCTCACTAACTATGCTGTACTTTGTCCCGGTGGTGACGATTTGTGCTGTCTTTACCTCCGTCCCAGGCTGTGGATGCAGTTTGAGCTGGGCATGACGTCGATGCAGCAGCTGGGTTTTTCGGCCAAGGATCTGGACGAGGTGAAGGGCATCTTCACCGAGACCAACATGGTGCTACTGCTGGTGACCATGTTCGTCTCCGCTGTCCACGTGAGTACTGGCGGTAGTAGGAGAAAAGTGAGGGCGAATGGTAGGGATTATTTCGTGTGGGCGTGCAGGGTTTTTGCGTGAAAGGGTCACTGTCACTCTGCGTGTTATCCATAGGGATTGCGGATATTGTGTTTTACCCGGTGCAATGCAATTTAGACAACGGAACTACTAAACACTATCCCTAGGTTACCACTTTTTACCTCGCGTTTCCAGATATGATAGCTTAACTAACCTACCTGTGATATTTTTTGTTTTGTTTTGTTTTTGTTTTTGTTTTTCCAACTATTAAAGGCATGTTGACATATCTCTAAAGTCACCTTCCCGACCTCTGTCTACCTCTAGCTGCTGTTCGACTTTCTGGCGTTCAAGAACGACATCGAGTTCTGGCGGCGGCGCAGCTCGTTCGCCGGCCTGTCCACGAAGGCGGTGCTGTGGCGCGCCTTCTCGCAGGTGGTGGTGTTTCTCTACCTGCTGGATGAAGAGACCAGCTACCTGGTCATCGTGCCCATGGGTATCGGCACCGTCATTGAGGTTAGTGATGACGGGCAGAAGAGGCGCCGTGATTTAGTCTATGGAATTATAGATGGGGCATCTCAGTGGTGACCTGGCGTTTTATGTGTTTTTGCGAGATGATGATATATTTAATTGATAATGGTATACAAATGCTGCTTGACTTGCTAATATATTCTCATATTTTTCAGGAGTCAGCTCATATCAGAGAGATTTTAATATCCCTTTCCTATTTCATACTTAAAACCCCAAGGATGCTGTTTCTTATCAGTTAGTACCGTAGCACTCAATCTTATCCTCCCTACCCCTTCCCCGGCCTGATCCCCCCCCCCCTGTCGGCAGATCTGGAAGGTGTTCAAGGCGTTCCACATCTCAATCCGCTGGGGCCTGGTGCCGCGGCTGTCGTTTGGCGCGCGCACCTCAGACGAACTGCGCACGGCCGCGTTCGACTCTCAGAGTATGACCTACCTGTCGTATCTGCTCTATCCGCTGTGTGCCGCCGGAGCGGTGTACTCGCTGCTCTACACGCCGCACAAGAGGTGTGTAGAGGTGGGGAGGGAGGGAGGGGGAGAATCTTGGTGACGGGCGTTTTTGTGTGGACTTCGGGGATGTCGCTAGTGTTTGAAGCTGGGCCATTCAGCAAATATGGGGACTGGTTGCTTTGGGCTGGGAGGTAGCGGGAAGGTATGAATTTCAGAAATCCAAACGAGGGTTTGTTATGCTCGCAGATAATGCAACTAAACTAAGGTGCATACATACAACCAGCGAAACTTCAATGGGTTTCAAATCGGTAACATTCAGCTTAATATCAGGCTTTGCCATGTTATGTAAATGGTCCACGAGTTTATGACTGGTATCACCTCTTACATCTTTTTGGCAGCGATCCAGACCTGACATGCCCCCCCCCCCCCCTCCTTCTCGACAGCTGGTACTCGTGGTGCATCCAGAGCGTGGTGAACGGCGTCTACGCCTTCGGCTTCCTCTTCATGTTGCCGCAGCTGTTTGTCAACTACAAGCTCAAGTCGGTGGCCCACCTGCCCTGGCGCGCTCTCATGTACAAGGTGGGTGCCAGCGCCAAGATAGGGCGGAAACTCTGTCAGGGGTAGGCGGGGGCCGCCAGAAACGGCTATGAAGTTTTACGAGGATTGAGAGTGGCTGGATTCAAGCTTAATCTTCCTTACGTCAAATTTTATTCGTACCAGCCTCCCAGTTTCAAGTTACGCCTCTTTCGTGTCCTGTTTCGACCTTACGCAATGTAAATGAATTTTCCTGCTTTTCGTAACGCGCGTGACGATGAGCCCTTCACCGCCCCACCCTCCTCACACAGGCTTTCAACACGTTCATCGACGACCTGTTCGCGTTCATCATCACCATGCCGACGGCACACCGCGTGGCCTGCTTCCGGGACGACCTTGTGTTCCTGGTGTACCTGTACCAGCGCTGGCTGTACCCGGTGGACAAGAGCAGGCTGGATGCCGCCGCCAGCTTCGCCGAGAGCAGCGAGGTGTCGCCGCCGCCGGCAGAGACGCAGGCTCAGCAGAAAAAGCAGCAGTGAGGGGCGCGGCGGGGACGCGGATGGTAGTCAGGGTTGTCACTCATGGGAGCGATGCCGGAGGTGGGTTGTAATGTCTTGGAAGGGTTGTCAGTGGTATTTGTATTTGCTATGAATCTGGTAGGAATTTCGAGGTGGGTGGTGAGGGGACGTCTCTGAAAGGAAGGTGGAAGGTAACTACTACGAGAGCATTAGGAAAGGGATTGGCGAGTAATAGAGTAAGAACGGAACAGAGTACGGTCGAAAGGAGCAGATAGTGCGACTGGAGGCGGGTCTGCCGCTCCGAGGAGGGCTGTGGGAGGCGCGCTGGAGCCGCTAGTGCTGTGCGCGTTACCGTAAAGCATGGATCACATCACAGTTCACACACTTGGTTGTGGGCGGGTGCAGTTATGATGGTATGACGTATTATGGAGCAAGCAGGGAACAAGCATCAGCTGACCTAAGCTCACGTTTCGTCCTCAACCGGGCGACAACTACAAAAAGACCGCAGAATTAAAGACTGCATTTGCGTGCATGCCCTGTGATTGCTACGAATGGTTGCGGGACGATGCTGTAAAAGTGTATGGGTTTTTGTGGCGATGGGTCCGGTGAACCGAGGCATTGGACAGGGTTTTCGACCAAACGTGGGTCTCAGGAGGTGGCTGGTGGGGGCTGCACTGTCACAGAGGGTGGTTGGGTGTAAGGAACGCAGCGCGGGCGTGGTTTCATCGTCACGTTAATAGCTGGGCTGGTGTCGGGAGTGGGGTATGGCGGTCCGGGCCGGTCGTCTTGCACAGGCTGCTAGCAATGTGATGCCAAAGCTGTCGTCGTTCGCGGCGAGTCGTCATTCCTTCCTCCCTCCTTCAGACAGGCGGTGAGGCGAGCTTTCGGTACTGCTGTTTCTCGTCGACTTGTTTATTTATTTTGTTGTTTCAAGGCGTAGGATTGTCTGAAGTAGCTGTCGATGTGAATGAAAGTGCTTCACTTTGTGTTTTTGTGGCATTGAAGTCCGATTACATGGTTTGGCTACCTAGTGAGGCTCCTCGATTGTTGCTTGGATAGTAGGTACACAGCGTCGACGTTCTGCGATGCGCATTGCGCGCTCCAATGTGCCAGCACACATTGTGATCGGACTGTGTGATCAGTTCGTGATCAGTTCGTGCGGCTCTGTGTTTACAAACCTGAAACCGTTCTGCGTAATTAAAGAAGCTGAATGAACATTTTCGTCTGACAAATTGCATCGTCTGTCATCCAGCTACGATAGGAATGAAGAGCTCTGTTAATTATTGATTATATGTGTCGTAATCACTGTTCTGTGGTAGCTTTTTTCCGTTCCGCGGCACAGACCGAGCTGGAGAGCTCGACCCGACTCGTGATATTTGGACAGCACTGCTTTAGTCGTCCCCCGGTAAATATTTGTTGTTTCATTCGGACGCCCAGCTAGTGTTTCCAAGCTCCTGTTGCTCATGTATTTTTTTTCGAATACAGAGCTAGCGGTGCATGAACGCTAAACGAACGTCTTTCTAGCCGAAGGGCATCAGCACTCAGCCATTTGTGAGCTCAGGTGGGACTCAAGTTCAGAGTTAGTGGTTAATCGAAATTTATGGACTGCTCTTTTTTTAGGTGTTGCAGGTGTCAACAGGTCATCCATCACATTTATCCAGTCCAGAGACCCCTCCTATGGTGGTTGTCGAGCCTATGTTTTAGGGCCTTGGTCGAGCCTATATCATTGGCTTATTTTCAGCCTTTCTACCCTTCCTAGACCAGCTTGATTGTGATGGATGTGATTATTCAGGTTGCACAGAACAATATTTTCTTACGAAATAAATCATAATTGTCGAAATTATGGATGGAATACCATAGATAATTATGATGAAGCTATATTTGGTGCTACAAAAATTACTTTACCTTTTGATATGGCAGCAATTGATGAGTGACGCATCCGACGCTCCCAAGAAGTAATGATTGTCACATTGTCACCGGGACAGCTAGATAAATGTTATTTGGAGTATATTTATAACGGAAAACGGTTGAATTTTATAGACCGTAGAAAATATATGTGTCATTTTCTTTGAAGTGTGTGCATCACATGCTGATCGAGTGATTGGAGCGTGCGTTTCACAAGCTTTATCTTCAGCCTGGGAGGCAGATAAAAATCAAGATAATTTCCAGGTTGTTTTCCACTAATTTTGCCCTGAGGCCTTACAGGTGAGAGTGAAGTTTCATATTCATATCTTCTTTGTTGTCATTTTATCAAAATAAAAATGGTAGCATACTTGGCATCATCAAACTGAACTGGTACTACCTATCTCAAGCTACGAGTTTCATCCACTTATTCCACTTTCCAACTATGAACTATGAAGAAATCAATAATCATTCCATCAACATGCTACATACATAGGCTACAGCATGCTCTGTTTTTGTTTTAACATCTTTTTGGCAGCTTAGCATGTGATGGACAAGTGACAACTTGAACTGAATCTTTGCTTAGGGCACTGGGCAAAGAGGAATGCAAGGGCAGCAGAGGCCTGGCGCACTGTGCATGCAGGGCACTGGGATGAGGGATCTCATGAAAATTAAGTGCCCATGTTTTGCAGTTTGGCCTATTTTTATTGGAAATTTCAGTAGGTATTTGTTAAATGCAACTTTACTAAAAGCATATTATGTCTTCCTGTTTTAAGCACATATCAACTTATTTTGGCGAGTGTTGGGTAATTGTTTCAATGCCTATATGCTAAGACCATCTACCAGTAGTCATAAAGCAGGTGTCACACTCGTTTTTCCATCCAAGGAGAAGCACGTCTTTACCTAAAGATGCTTTCTTAATTTTCATCAAACCAAACCAAACCAAACCTCACCTAACCTTACCTACAACCTGCAACCTAAAACTACAAACTACAACCTAAAACCTACCCCATAAAATCAACAACCTTCAACCTAACCTACAGTGCCTCTTCTTGGTTGGAAAAAAACTAGTGTGATGCCTGCTTTACTACTACCCAACTACCTACATTTTTTCAGTAGGTACTTCAACTTGTCCACTTGCAGGTGCAAATACATTTTGCAAGTGCTGCCATAGGTTGCATTATGAATCATTAGTTTGATATGTGATAATGTTAGATTTTCTTATGCCTTACCATAGCTTAGTGAGCTTGTTAGGTGTTGAATATTGATTTTTTTCTACTTATTTCCAGGTGTAACTATGCAAACCATCAAGTGTGTCGTTGTAGGGGATGGTGCTGTTGGAAAGACCTGTCTGCTCATCTCATACACAACCAACCGCTTCCCATCAGAATATGTGCCCACCGTAAGTTTCTTATATACCTTACCAGCCAGTTGCAGTCACTGAATTAGGACCATTCATCTAAACAGGGCAGCTTGTGATAGGTACTAATGCTTCTTATTTTAAATGGTACATTTGCTTGCTGAACCCAATGCTTGTTTGCATGTGATAATCAATCATTTCTGATGACAGACTTATTTGTTTAAGTTTCAATAACAGTGGCAATTATACAATTTTTAAAACCTCTAACTTATTCTGATGTTAGTTAGTTTATTTCTCTCACTGACTACTAGCTACTAAAGAAAAGAACATTTTCGGGTCTTCTACCAGTTTCATGCACAACAATCATACACCCGCCCTCCCATCCCCGTCGCGCCCATCACACCCTCGGACTGCCATCTGCAGGTGTTTGACAACTACGCTGTGACGGTGATGATTGGCGGCGAGCCGTACACGCTGGGTCTGTTCGACACGGCCGGTCAGGAGGACTACGACCGCCTGCGGCCGCTCTCCTACCCCCAGACGGACGTCTTCCTCGTCTGCTTCTCGGTCGTGTCGCCCTCCTCCTTCGAGAACGTCAAGGAGAAGGTGGGTTCTGGACTCATGGGTGTGCTTGGCTGGTTTGGTGGATGAAGGTGGTCAGGTGAGGCGGTTGTTGTCAGTAGGCTGAGTGTGGTACTTGTTATTGAACCAGTTCCCGTTGTTGGTTGCTTAGTTTTATTGTGATGTTTATTTGGCAATACACACAAAACATTTTCAGTTGACATCACTCCCTGATCTCCTAACATAGGAGCACACATCAAACGTCTCCAACTGATCCTCCATGATGAAAAATGAAAAATTGCAACAAAAGAGCGCACAGCTTACTGAAATGCCAACAGATGAGCAATTGCAATAAGTTTTAGTAAAAGTGCAAGAAATGAATGAACACAGGTAGCTTAAACAGAGGAGCCATGTAAGTGATGATGGTGGCACACAAACTGCGACAACAATCCTGCTCCAACGATCTTTGCACCAGCGACAAAATTTTATGCAAAATTGCGTTAAATAGCGCAATCATCTGGCTGTATTATATTCGCGGACGTATTGGCTGCTTTTGTCGGTTTACACTTCATTGCCCTGAGCCAGTAACACCTCAACAAGTTAAACTCGCAGTGTGTAATCGATATTCGCACGATTTGTGTTCGCTTGCTCGTCTTTCTCCGTTGTTTTCCCTGTCCGACTCCGTTACGCTCTGACGGCTGGGTCGGTTTGATGATAGGCGCACTTTTCAAACAGCTGTCGGAACCCTGAGCGGGTGACCTGGCGGCCGCAGCGGTCCTGCGGCGCGCGGTACGTGTCCCCGATCGGCGAGCCGTCCTCTTTTTGCAGCGACCGCAGCAGGGCCAGCTCAGGCGCCAGGATGCGCGCCGGTGTGAGCAGCAGTATCCAGTGCACCACCTCCAGGTAGGGCGCTCCTGTCAGCGACCCCTTGTACTGCGCCCGGTCCGACAGATTGTCCGGTAGGAAGGAGGCCATGGACGGCGGCGCCGCCATTTCCACCGTCGAGACGGCCGTGGGGACGCGCGCAATGGCCTCGGTGAGCGCCGTGAAGCCGCGGCCGCCGCCGTACTTTTCGTCCAGCGAGTAGAGCACCCCCAGCACAGCGATACCGTCCACCTTGGTGAGCGCCAGCTCCAGCGAGTCGTACTTGGCGTTATAGGTTTGGATGTGCAGCTCGAGCGGGTAGCGGCCGCCGTTGACGGTATGCTCAGAGCCGGCCGAATCGTCTGTGGCCCAGTGCATATCGATGGCGAACGGGATGAACGTCCCGGGCAGTCCGGCGCCGCTCATGGTCGGTATCGTCCTGTCCTGCCACGTAGCCCAGCACATGACGTCCTTGCCCGTGTTGCTCAGGTTGAAGGTGGTCGGCGGGATGTCAAAGTTCTTCAGCCGCAGTGTGCTTGTGAGCCGGCGCTGCACACAGCACGTGTTGATGTCGATTGGTGACTGGCGGGCGTGGAGACACTTGATGTCCTCCTCCTCACTCTCCTCCGCAAAGACGCTCGTGCCGTCCTCGGGTTCGTTAGGGAGTGGACTCGGGTACTCAAATAAGCCGTCAGATGTTTTGGCCGGAAGATCCTCCGGATACTGGAGGCTCTCCACGGCGTGTTTGTCGCCTTCTGTATAGACGGCGTATCCAACTGTCAGATTAGGTTGGTCATCAGAGCTGGAATACGTTGAAGCTTCTTGACTGGGAGTTTCATGACGATCAAGGATCGTTTGCTGAGGGATGCTGTCGATGCTGTCGCGGATTTCTGCGCTCCTGCCGATTGTTCGGACGGCGGAGTCACGGACGTTGTGAGCTCCGCTACCCGTCTGCGCCGCGCTGCCGTGGCTGCCGTGCCGAGCGGTGTGGAAGAACACGCCGTACGGTCCGGTGCTGTAGCCGTAGCTGAAGCGGGCGTCGGAGACTGTGGTGAGGAGGGTCAGCAGGAGCAGTACCGCCGGGGTGGCCGGGCGGCGGACCGACGCGGGCCTCATGACGGCTCCCCAGGGACGCCGGCAGTAGCGGAGATCCACACCAGTAGCGGCCGAGTCAGGGAAGAGCTGAGATACGATGAAGTCTGAGCGCCAGGCAGCAGAGGACGGGCAGGCACCAAACGACCGTCGAATGAACGTTAACTACTTGCTGCTGACGGTATGTGATGTCCTTCCTCGGCGGCAGCGTGACGGTCAGTGCGCGGCTGCGCCGTCCACCAGCTATATAAGAGACGCCGGAGGCTGCGCGGGGTCCCCCCGTCCTTGGAGACGGTCGACCGGCTGCCGAGGGGAGCCGACCGACACTGGACGGACGGCGGACGGCACAGCGGCTGCCACTGACCGGCTGCCACTGACCGGCGGCCGAGGACGGGGGCTTTTTGTCAGCGGCTGGGTGGACAGGTGACTGCCCTGATTGCATCGCCGGTCAGTCCGGCCAGGTGAACCGTTTCCTCTGACCGGCCGTGGAATGGGACGACTCTGACGCCACGGACATGTTGACGTTAGTTACTGCTCATGACGGCGGCAGTATCTGAATTTCAGGACACCCGTTTCCTAGTGGAAGTCGCCTCCATCTTTGAACAAACGTGCCCAAGTCACGAAACATTCCCAGAATCATGACACCCCTGTCGAACTTTGTAGAAACTCGATCGCAGGTTTACTTTGTATTCTGTCTGTTTGTATATTTGAATGATCTTTTAAAATAGGATGTTCGTTGAATTCTCGCCATGTTCGCTAAACGCCGCATCGCTGGCAACGAATCTGCGAGGTACAGTGATGGGGTTAGCCGTTTCCGAGAATCACAAACATCAGGAATAAATGCTCCAGCGTCCTGCACTTCATTCATTAGCTCAGAGAGCCAGTTAAATGAGCAATTTTACGCCAGTATTCTTTATATTTATCTGAATTATTAGACTGGCTGTAGTTGATGTGATGTTCTTGAATACCTTTCGCCAGACGATGGTTCTCTTGAACCAGCTTTTTGTATGGCGCGTCCGCTGGACGTATCCAGTTTAACCTGTCACGTTGTCCATCGACACGCCATGGTACCAAGCCGGCACTGCCGTGAAAAACTGGACCCCGCCCCAACTGCTCATCGTTTTCACCCGCATTAATTATTCATCATCTGTCCTTAATGCCACCGACTAGCTGCTGATGTATTTTGTTGATAACGTTGCCATCCGTCGTGGCTAGTTTTTACCAACACTCTGTGCTGTCGTTACCCCGCCTTGGTTCCAAACCCGCTGCTTCGCTGACGCTGGCTCAGGCTACCACTGCTGGAGGGCTGTGCTCGCCACTGCACTGATGTTCTGACCATCACTGGTAGAAGGTTTTTAATTCTGACTTCCACCGCAACTTTGCTCATCATTGCCGCTTGTTTCGTACATTCACACTTCACCGTTCAACCCCTTATCTTTCCTTCGTTAGCTCCCAACCTCACCCCTATCACGGTGAATAACCCCATTTCCCTCGCCGTTTCCCGTCAGTGGGTGCCCGAGATAACGCACCACTGTCAGAAGACGCCGTTCCTGCTGGTCGGCACCCAGATCGACCTGCGAGACGACGCCGCCACCAACGAGAAGCTCGCCAAAAACAAACAGCGGCCCATCTCGCTCGAGTACGGCGAGAAGCTGGCCAGGGAGCTGCGAGCCGTCAAATACGTCGAGTGCTCGGCGCTCACACAGGTGAGAATGGAAGGGTTGTGAGAAGCAAGATTGCTGTGAGAGGTGGGCGAGGATGAGTGGGTGTAGTCAGAGTTTGAGATTGGAATGCTGTCCGCTGACTGCGGACGATTGATATGAAGTCGTGTGCTTGTGTTGGGTACCGAATCTAGTGAGTGGAGATGAGTTGATTGTAATGACCGTCATCCTTGTATCGTGTTGATCTATGACTGATTACTTGTGAAATGTGATCGATGTCGATGACATGTGTCCAATGTCCGTGACCTATCTCCGTTTTCGGTGGCCTGTGGTGAATGCATGTGACCGTTGTCCTTTGTCCGTGACCTGTTGTCCGTTGTTAATGACCCTTGTCCCACCCCACTGGTAGCTGATGAATTCCTCCCGCTAACACTCGCCCGTCTCCGTTCCGCAGAAAGGACTGAAGAACGTGTTTGACGAGGCTATCCTGGCCGCCCTGGAGCCGCCCGAGCCGGCCAAGAAGAAAAAGTGCGCCATCTTGTAATTGAGCTGCCCGATCGCGGCCACCGGCCGGCGCCGCACCGCGTGAGTTCGGGGGGGGGGGGGGGTTGTTTGAGACGGGTAGATCTACAGCTGACAGGTGCTGCAGGTCTACTTGGCAAAATGCGTATGCTTGTTAATCGTGAATCCTAACACAGTTTATTGGCAAACATTGCTCGTGCTTATTGTTTCCTGTACTGCACTGTCTGTGCGTAGATTATGAAACAATTCGAAGTGCTAACACCAGTATAACGCCTTTTGGGGCGACTAACGGAGCGAGCGAGAGGGTGAGCCTTGCACGTGCGAAATTTCGAGGGGGTACCTCCAGCTGACTTGTGCACGGCACCCTACTAACCGGTCTCTAGCGATGTGCCAAATTTGAGCACAATCGGCCAGCCGTTCTCGAGATCTGGAAGCGGCACCCGGCACGTGCAAAATGGGTCCCAACTGACTTTTGCACGGCACCCTACTAACCGGTCCCTAACCATGTGCCAAATTTGAGCGCCATCGGTCCAGCCGTTCTCGAGATCTGGAATCGACCCCTGCACGTGCGCACGTGCGGCAGCACCCCAACTGTGGCACATGGATATGCATTGCCTGCCTAGTGGGTGCCTACCTACATGCCAACTTTCAGCGCAATCGGCCAAGTAGTTACAGAGATATTGCAACAATTAGAAAAGTGACACCTCTTCGTTTTGCACGTGGCACGTGCATAAGGGGTCACCCACATGCATCGGGAATAGTCAAATACTCGGTAGAAGGAATGAAGCTGCCCTATAAAAATTACCGCATGTAAATCGGTCAAGTGGTTGCTGAGATATAAGCGTCGCAGAATCGTGACCACGGCCGGCCGGCCGCTCATACTCAGAAATTTCCGTTATTCTACGTAAGACTCCGCTGTCAGTCCGCTCGCTTCGCTCGCTATGATGTCCTGAAAATTTATATCATCCAGACAGCTAACATAATTGGAAGACGATCAGAAATGATCCTGCATCTACTAGATGGAGTCGACGAAATAAGTCTAAGTCTAAAGTAATTACCTTTTTTCGTTCTGTGCTCATCCTGCCTCAAGCATTATACCGGGCAAAGTCAATGTGTGGGTTTGTTGGGTTCCTCACCCGATTCCCGCTAGCCCTCACGTGTCCACTTTGTCTGACTTGTTGCAGTCGTTCTACACCACTGGTGGCTCGCTGCCGCAGAAGTTAGAGGACCGGCCTAACTGAATATGGAGAGGGGACTTCTATGGAGCAAAACGAACGTCGACTCTGTCCGGCCGTCTCTGAAGAATTGGTGACGTTAGGAACGGGAAAAGTGACGTCACAAAAAACAGTGACGTCAGCTACAGACTTGGCGATCCGGCGCTGTTCTGAACCGTTTGTCGATTCCCCGCGCCGGTATCGTCTCTGTGCGGGAGCTGGTCCCGGCGCGGTGCGTCATTTCTGTGGAATTATGGCAATGAACTGGCGCCGGTGAGGGTTCATTGTCGATACGTCTCGCATTTCCGCGTCCTGAGGTACTACACGCTCACAATATGCGCCAAGGCGCGCGGCGTCGGATCATTTCGCCTATTATGTGTGGTGAGCGGCTATTTTTACGGCCGGAAAGAGGATGCAGCCAGATAAATACTTAGTGCTATCGTATCGCAGAGGCTTGTAGGGGTGAGAATGACATGCTGCCGCCGTTTCACAAACAGCACGGTACTAATTTAATGCTATATTATAACCCACTGTATTGTTTCCAGTTATCTGCTATCTATCGTCTCCCGGTGCTGTCCGCTGTCTGGTATCAGAGTGTCGCCGCACTGGCGGTGACCGCCGGCCAACACACGTGCGCTGTCGTCTGTATGTGCTTTCAGTCTTGATGCTCGCTCACCGAATTCCCAAGTCGGCTCAGCAGGTGCCGCGCATTTTTACTTTAGTACTTTGATGGGCTCCTAGCTGCCCGCCTCTCGGCTGGCGAGCCTGTCTAGTGGTCGGCGGGGGGGGGGGGGGGTCGCCCCGGGGATGGAGGGGAGGGCGCCCGGGAGGGAGGGGTGACGCGGCGGTGCTACTGATTCGGCCGCGTGTCCGCGCGCCCTGCTGGACGGCCGACGGTGTCACAAAGGATGATTTCGTTGCCCACTGGCGCTGCCTTGTTCGAGAGAGATGGATCGAAATGGAACTGGTGTGCTGTCCGTATTTGTATCGGGAATACAGAGGAGGCGCGGTCGGCCGCCGCCGCGGCAGATAATGGTGTTTGTGTGGAATTCGTGAGATTGATTCCTCATGTCGTGGAAGGGGAGGCACTGAGTGAACACTGATTAAGTGGATAGGTAGTATCTGATTCAGTGAGGGCAAGCACGTATGAGTTAAAGGAAGATCACAGGGGTTTTGACTGGGTAGACGCGCTGGTGTAGTAGTCTGTTACATCTGACATATTTTTAAAGGAGCTAATGCTGTTAGTGCATGAATGGGTCAACCATTGTTGTTTGACGACTCGGCTGATATTTGTAGCCTTGCATTCGATCAAGAGCGACCCAAGATCATGACGAGCATCAAACCCGAACCAAGATTCCTTTACTACCCCCGAACGACCGTAAAGGTTTTTCCCTATTATCGGACGGGCTACCATATATTTTCTCTTGCGTGTTGCTGCCCCTGCTGACACTTGTTTTTTATACACAGCAAGTTTACAGCCGCCGATTAATTGCATTTTGTTTTAGTTTTTGTGCAAATAGGAAGTAACTGCACATATATAACTGTGCTAAGTTATGTCACTGAAACACATCCTTAGCCTCTCATTCAACGTGAGCAAGGGGCTGCGACCAAGGTAAGTCGAAAGTTCAAGTTTTCCCAGAGTCAGGTCAAGGTCCATTCCTTTTCAATATCTTTGGTGTTGTAGGTACTCTTGTATTTCATTTGCACAATTCTTGTGGCTTCTGAAGCTATGAAATATTGATGATACTTTTCAGTCATTAGAATCAATGTGGTTTCACACTATGTGACACTATTAGTTGACATTTTATTTGATATTTTCTAATGTCTCCCTTCTCCCCCTCTTTTACAATCTGCCCTCTTCTTCATTTTTTTTCTCTTCATCCTCCCCTCTCTCTGCTTAGGTATAGGCACAAAGTGACCTTTGCAGTCGGCACACCCATAAACCCCAATAAACAAATCTCTCTGCTAATAACTCTTCACTCCCTATTTTTCCACTATTATTTTCTCTTTGCCCTTTCAGTAGGCGGAACTATGGTCATGAGTACCCAAATATAGGAACGTTCCCATTTTTGGGAACGGAGTTCCCAAATATGGGAACGGGCGTTCCCATTTATGAGAACGGAAGGCAATTTTTCGGCCGTTCGCCCACTAAAACTCAAAAGTGCATCACGTCTAAAAAAAGTGCACGCTGATTTAAGTATCTACTAAATCTCCATAAAGTTATCTTTAATCTGACCGTGGAACAAGGAAATTGACCGTGGAATGATATTTTTAATGATTTTTTAAAAATGACAGAATGGTGGAAATATGGGTTATACGACATTTAACATGCAATTTTAAGGAAAATGAAGCATTTTTTACATTTTGAGGTCAAGTATAATAATTTTCGCCTGGTTATGAAGTTTCATTCTAGCGACACCAGATGCTGACATATGCAAGCGAACACGCGGACAGTCCCGAGGTAATATTGTTGACTTTTGGTGTCGAGGCGATCGACCGCGTGGAACGTCAGTGATTTTACTGAACTACTGTTGTAAACTCAGTTTCAGTGGTTTAAAATCATTCAGCTGTATTTTATCAGTTCTGAAAGACATATTTTATTTGGATGCTAGCTGTTTAGCGTTGTTTTATAAGCAGCGTCATGAGCGTGGTTTTTGTCTTCGGCGTTTCTAAGCATGATCGTTTGGGGGGATTTTCTCTGATATAGGTCGCTCTTTGTGGCTTATTTATAATTTTTATGCTGATTTCGATCATTCCTCGTGCCCATCCTACCAGGCCTTTTGCCACTTACACTCATTAAGAAAGGAAAAAAACTAGATTTTCATTGGGACTAGGTGTTTTGAGGGTGTAACATATTCAGCGTTCCCATTTTTGGATACTTCTTGTGCTCGTCAACTCTCGGTGATTAGCAGACAGGTGCTTGACATGTCTCCACCCTCGGCGCGGACGGTGGATATAGGTATGGAAGACCTTGTTGAACATCGCTGAGCGTTGTGGATTACGTAATCCTGCAGAGGGGGGCGTGCCCGCTGCGAGATCGACGGGAATAAAAGCGCAGAAGACCGGGCGAAACATGCAACGGTCTTGCCGGAAAGGTCATCTGATGATTGTTGCGTTAACAATAATTTGCGGCGTTGGACGTGATGCTTGTTAATGAAAAGAGCCCCTGAAAGGCGTCGGTGAAATCGTTCCCAATTTTGGGTACGCCGTTCCCATAATAAGGAACGCTTGCAGCACCAGTGTACGAGAGCGTTCCCAAATTTGGGCTCGCGGCCCGGGTGATGGACTGCTTTAGAAATAGGGGAACGATTTGAAACTACGATGGGCCTTACAATATCAAACTCTTTCCCAACAATATTGAGACAACTATCAGGCGGTTCACGATCGTTTTATATTTTTTGGACGTCATTTAACGGTTCTTTTTCTTGTTTTAAATAATGCCTACATGGCGTTCCCATATTTGGGTTTATCGTTCCCAAACATGGGAACGAAAATGCGTTCCCGAAAATGGGTACGCTTGACCATAGTTCCGCCTACTGCTTTCCAATGTACTCTCCAACTATCTGCCTTTTCCTCTATCTTCCTTCCTCTCCTCTCTACCCTTTCTCATCTTGCTTCAGTTCTCAGTTCTCTTTTCTCATCTCTCCTTTCTTCTCCCTTTGAGTTAATCATTTCACTTCTCCTTTCTTATCTCTCTCCTCTCTGGTCTCCTCCCCTCTTCTCCCCACTTTTCTCTTCTCTCATACCTCCTCCCTCAGTCCTCTCTTCTATCTATGCTCTGTCTCTGTCTCTGTCTCTGTCTCTGTCTCTCTCTCTCTCTCTCTCTCTCTCTCTCTCTCTCTCTCTCTCTCTCTCTCTCTCTCTCTCTCTCTCTCTCTCTCTCTCTCTCTCTCTCTCTCTCTCTCTCTCTCTCTCTCTCTCTCTCTCTCTCTCTCTCTCTGTCTCTCACTCTCTCACTCTCTTTCTTTCTCTCTCTCTCTCTCTCTCTCTCTCTCTCTCTCTCTCTCTCTCTCTCTCTCTCCTCTCTCTCTCTCTCTCTCTCTCTCTCTCTCTCTCTCTCTCTCTCTCTCTCTCTCTCTCTCTCTCTCTCTCTCTCTCTCTCTCTCCCTTCATCTTTTGACCTAAACATACACAGGTGTAGATGGACACATTGACTGAGATTGCCTAGCAAGAGTCAACTATGGGTGTGTTCTGAGCTCTGGATGTCAGTCTCAACTCAGGCTGTCATTATGAGCCTTGGCATCAAAGAGTGCTCTCTGAGCCATAAGAACAATGCTACTTTTACACGGAAAACCCGAGACCCCAACTTGACACCGCCGGGAGGGAAGCCCGGGCGGGGGGTGGGAGGTGGGGTGGGGAGCTGAAGATTGCGATAAGATCGCTCGGTGTTTAAGATACAGTGGCCGCTCGGTCGGTCGCGAGAGTGGTGCTTGCTCAACTGTCGTTCAACGATCGGCGATTGAAAGCTGTGAAGGTAAGGTTTAATTGATCCGGTGAATTAGTCGGGCACTGGCAGTGTCGCTCATCCAAAATATGTTGGATCATAGACGTGATAAGGCAAATTTCACTAGGGGATCGTTTTAGCTTGCTTTATGTTCTCCGCTTGCTTATGAACGGTTACTATTTTCACACAAAAAATTGTCGGGAGACGCTCACAATTCGATTGTTTATCGTAGACCATTACTTAGCGGATGATAAGACGTGATATTGACCTTGTATCTCACCGTTTCAGACTGCACCAGACGGCGCTTCCGCAGGTGCGGATGATGAGCTCTGTGTTCAAGGAGTTTGAAAAGGCCAAGGAGCGGCTCAACAGTCTCTCAGAAGACCCCGGTGAGGAAAACATCATCGTTTTCGACTGGAATTTGATGTTCTCGTTTACGGCGTACTTGTATTTATTTCGCTGCCTTGTTTTACTTTTTCGGCAATTACGCTTATCATCCTCGGTGCAAAAAGCTACCAACTGTCTGAGAGTATGTCTTCAAAAGTATGCTGTTTATCAACAGCTGAAAGCCCCTCTAGCGCCAGAATTTCCCGCTCTTCCGCAGCTGGATAGTGTCTAACATCCCGCTCCCATCGTGACTTCACTAATCGCCTCCCTTTCTGTCCTTCCGTTTGCAGGCAATGAAGCCAAGCTGAAAATTTACGCGCTGTTCAAGCAGTCGACGGTGGGCAAAGTGGCCACCGACCGGCCCGGTATGATGGACTTCGTGGGCCGTGCCAAGTGGGACGCCTGGAACGCCCTCGGAGACATGACCCAGGTCAGCACGGGGGGGTCGTGACCAGACATGTGCATGGATCCCAGAAAATGGATCTGGGATCTGATCCCACGGATCCTGATCTCGGATCCGACGGGATCATAGATCCAGCTCTATAATTTATCAAGAGATCCGTAGGGATCACAGATCCGAGTCTCATTTTTTGCTTGAGATCCAGTGAGATCATAGATCCTCACTTATTTTTTGTCAACACATGTATCCCCAAAAAACACTTGTTTCAACTCACAAACATACTGTTTCAGTGATTTTATGTGATCGCACGTCATAATCCATAGTTTTGTGGCACTTATTGGCATAGAAACCCTATAAAACATGGTTTAAATGTGGTGCATGGTGGGATCCACTCAGATCATAGATCCATGTTCTTAATTTATCGTCAGATCATATGAGATCATAGATCCAAGATGTATTTTTCACGCCGGATCCGGTGGGATCATAGATCCCAACCTGTACTTTGCTTCGAGATCCACTGAGATCATAGATCCATCACTCGGATCCATGCACATGTCTGGTCGTGACCTTAGGGGGGTCAGCACGGGGGGGTCGTAACCTTAGCGGGGTCAGCGGGGCTGAGGATTTGTGACCTCAGCAAGGTCAGTGGGGCTGAGGGGTCGTGACCCCAACAAGGTCAGTGGGGATGAGGGGTTGTGACCTCAGGAAGGCCAGCGGCACAGTGGGCTGTTTGTTCATCTATGTTGTCCAAATAACGTTAGTTGTATTCGCTGTGATACATCAAGTGCCAGCAATTGCG